TTCTATTTGCATTTCGAAAGTTTGGGATTTTCGATACTGTGAATATTCGACACTTTGTGGTGTTCCTGAATATTCGCCACTTGCCTACCATCTTCTGGAGTTACCCGTTTACATCCTACGTTATATCTAACGTCAAGCTCACATGCTCTTTTTGTTTTCTTACTTACATGATTTTACGGTTGCTCCAGTGACTCCGGTAACTGCACATACAGAAAACGTATATCAGCATACCTATATTTACGTAGGTTCGCGAGTACGTGTTTTGTTAAGTTTATGTCGTATATGAGAAAATCACGTGTTGACGGTTAATTGTCATACCTCATACAACACGAGTGCTGGGGGCCCATGCATTAGACCGGAGCACACCCTATAGGAACTGGAACCCCGCCGGAGTGCGAAGCACAACGAAATTATTCTTCAGTTAGCTCTCTGTTCAAGTCGGTGCTCAACAACGGACGGGTGCCGGGTTCCATTCTCAGCAGACGCGAAAAAAAAGGTGAACCCCAAGGGCGAGAGAGATAATTGTTGTTGGTGGGGTTATATCTTGTGGAACCCTCTTTGTTTATCTACTGACCACTGTTCAATTGATGAACGGCCATGTTGGTTGTTGAACGCCACTAGGTCTTATTGCTTCCATTGTCGGTTTAAAAATTCGTGTATTCTCAATAGGCACGACCTTTGGACTTTTGTATATAGCTGCTAGAAGCCCCGTCTAATGCTAAGAATACAGAAATTTTTGAAGGGACAATAAAAATTGAGGCTATTTGTTATACGCATTTGAAATTTTCCTTTTCAACCAATAATAAGTGTCATTTTAAACCAACCAATAAGACCTACTGGCTTTCAACAATTAACATGGCCGCTGACAGTCATCAATATGACAGGTTGCAGTTTATATGTAGCATTTTTACGGCAGTATTTATTATACACTGTGAACTGAAACTGTTGAACTGACGAACTGACAGCAGCCATGTTAGATGTTTAACGCTGCTAGGTCTTATTGGTTGACAGCGAGATTTGAAATGGCTTTTCTCAATATTTTTTTCATGATGGCTTTAAAAGTACGTGTTATCTGCATATACAGGGCGTTTTAAAACCAATGCGAAGAATTTAAAGGGTTCTTTCTTATTTAAAATAAAGGGTAGTTCAATACGTTAAATGCACATATGGCGGAAAAATAGTGTTTATATTTTTTATTTTAAAAACCGGAACAGATAGAACAATAAAATATTACGGAAGAATAACTATTATAAAAACACACTTTCTGCATATTTTATTATTTTTTATTTTGTTATGTATTGCTTTAGATTGTATTTTTTTACTTGGAAACGAAAGGTATTATGAAAAAATCTACAGAGGAGAAAAAGTTCGAAATAAAACAAAATAAAAAAATACATATTTCTTGGGACATTGAATAAGTATTTGCTTTAATTTAGTTAATAAGAATGACGGGGGTAGTTTAATTTAATCCCCTGTAGTCATTTTAAAAAATAAAAGAACACGCAGAAAATGGGTTTTTATAATAGCGTTACTTCTGTATTATGTTATTATTCTTCTATTTTCGTTTTTGTAGCACGACATCTCTCTAGTGGTTGCCTTTTGATCGAACTTACCTACCCTTTATTTTAAAGAAGGAATATCCCTTTTTCGCACTTGTTTTGAACCAACCTGTATATAGGCAAAGCCACAAAATGTCTGGTAGCTATATAAATCTACCATATAGCTACTAGAGATGTAGGGTCGCTGCCTATACCAATAATACAGGAACTTATGAAGCAACTAGAAAAAAAAAGTCCATTGGTTTGGTTTTTAACCAATGAGCTTGAGGCATTCAACAGCCAACATGGACACTGACAGATCGTCAATAAGTTTAGATGCTGCATTTTTGAGGAAACATTTTCTCAAAATAAACTTAGATCTCGTTAAGTGTTCTGGCAAAAAGTGTTAAGTGTTAAGTTGTTATTTAGAAAGAAAATGGCTCAAGGTGCAAGTTAGTAGGTATCAATGTATCAATTTTTACCATAATAGGGCCACTATTTTATCTAATAGCTATTATATTGAACTACCGATACGCTGAGTTTCGTTCATTTTAATTTTTTAACCACCCTTTTTTTTGTCTTTGCAAGCGCCTTAAACCACATAAATAATTTTTGATCCGAACAGACTATTTGTAGTTAACTTGCAAGATACCTACACGTGTTTTTAGAAGGTACCCATTATAAATTAGCATGCCACAGTTTTCCTTGCAAGGTTGAAAAATGTGTAGCAATTAATTACCGGACACGATAAAATGCATAAAAATGACAACTTGAAGGTGCTCGTCAGTTAACGAATAGTACATATTCGGCAACGCCTGTAATTGATAGAACAGAGTGAACAGTATCAGTTAAACCATGACATAAAGTCGGCTTTACAACAATTAACGTGAAAAACGCACATACCAACGATGAACGCTGCCAAACAATGGATCAAGATTCGCTCGATGTGGGTTTGATTTTCCAAAGCATCGGAGAAAAAGCGCGAATTTTTTTCTGCGCATGTTCGAAATATATGTAAGTTTTTGGTTTATATCAGAATTTTGAGCTATTTCTGCAATAGCAAATTAATAAGTTGTATTCGCAGTAATTGGAATAGTTGGAACAAAACATACGAATTAGTAGTGGCTGGTATCTTTCTTTCCATTGTTAAATTTAAACCTTTTTGGCAACAGGTTGCAAAGACACCAACAAACAAAATAATTCAAAAAAGCTAGCAGAAATATCTCGCAAAACTCTTCACAAAATACAAAATCGATCGTCATTTGCCAAAAAGGGAATTTGACTCTAGTCGTTAAAGTAAACAGATTGGAAAAAAGTGTTTTTAATTAGTAAATTCTAGTTTGTATATTGATTACAAAAGGAATCCTCACTTTTCTTATGGAAAATGGCTTTCGGTTAATTTTAAAAAAAAATTAGTGTGTTGTAGTCCTTTCCGTTCTGTCCAGTTTTCGAGATATTGGTGCTTAAAGTTGGACAAAGGTGAATTTTAATACTTTTCCTAAAATTTTAACCTATTCTAAATAAAAAAATCTTATTTGTTGAACAAAATTGATATAATGCAATTGTTATTGTTGTATGGTCTTTTAAATGTGAAATACATTTTTTATAAAATATTTATATGTGTTTATTTTATTGCAACTAAAAAGTTTGCGTTTTGAACCGATGTTCTGTATGACCAAATTTTTGCAAAACTCATTTAAGTAAAACATATCTTAGTCCAAAAGTAAAAGGTTACAATTTAATATTCTAATTTTTTATTTAATTCAAAACTTTCTAAAGATTTTGGTTAGTTTTGGTTAGTTTAGATGACAATTTTGTAAAATATGTAGATGGCGTTATGTCCAGAATTATTTGTATGTCAATAATTTTATTGTATTGAATTTTTCAACAACAACTGCATAATTGTTGGATTTATTGATGGTTTTTGAAATATTTAAGTTTCATCAACATTAACAAAAAAAAATTCTTTTATGGTATAAAATAGTGAAATAAAATGCTGGTATAAACTAGATCATATTTTATATAACTATAATGTAAAAACGATAATTACAGTGGTGACTAATACTCGTTTAATTTTAATTTAGATAATAAAAATAACAAAAATACAAGAAAAGCTTATTTTGAAGATACAGAACATCGGTATGGATTAAAAACGAGGTGCAATAATTTTGCACACTTGAACTATAATAAAAATAATAAAATAAATGAGAATTCTCCCATAACAAGTTTATCAAACAAGTGATGTTTTTATTTATAACGTCTGTTGATAGAATTTTAGGACGATTCTTAATATTGCCCTTTGTCGAATTTTGAGTACCGATATCTTGAAAACCGAACTAATCTATCTAATCTAATTGTCCCATGAAGACTTTTGTTCAAAATACAAGGACCTACTATATTTTTTTTAATTTGCCAGAAGTAATTTCCCATAAGCAAAGCATTTAACGCAAAAGACTTAAAGGTTTAGCTGGTCCGAAATATACCTTACCCAGTAGCTCGCAAATTGGCGTCGAGCCTTAGCGCCTTCTCTATCGCCGTTTTTTAATATGTAATTTCAATTCGGTTGTGAAAAATTAGTTGAGTTGACAAGTAGTTGTGCAAATGTTTACAAATGTTTAGGCAATATATTTTTTGTTATTCTGTTTCCGAACAATAATAAAAGTTAACCTTAATCGTAAATATCCCAATTTTTTAGCTATGTAGTGTTAAATATTTCAGGAAATAATTGTTTTTCGTCACAACTTTAATATGTTCGTTTAAGCAGGGACATTTTTTGTTGTATAATATTTGTAATGTTGTACAGGTAATGTTCAGAATTAAAAAAATAAATACATAATTTCATTTAAATGATGGCAGTTTATTAGGGACCATCATTCTAAATTATGATGAAAAAAGAGAATTTATTATTATTCTATTGTTATTATATATGCTTCAAACAATAACCTTAATTGTTGTTAATAACCACCCATTGAAAACCATTATTCATTTGAAATGGGTCCCACATTTTTTTTATTATTTGATTTTCATTTTCATTAATGCAATTCTTCTTATTAGCAAAAACATGTTCAACGAAACGTTGGCAAATACAGGTTTAATATCCACTGACAAAGTTATTTAAATAATGCTGCTATAAATAATATTTATAACTTTACTGTTTAGGTATATTTTTCTATTATATTTTGAGTCTATCTATTTATAACCGTAGTGAATCCAGTGGTGTAGCGAACATTTTTCGGGTCAATATTGTTCCAGAATGGAGTTTTTGATGTTTAATAGAAGCGCTATTGTGAAATGGTTGCAGCGATTTTGATTTTAAAAAATCGACATTGAACAATGTAGTCAATTAGTACAATGTTAGATTCCATTTAACTGCTACACACCCAATGGAAGACATTTCAATTAAAATAATTATTGTTCTAAAGTGACCTTTATACTGACAATCAACTAATTGCTCTAACTACGCATTCACTACGCCTAACTCAAAATTAAAAATAGTCACTACCGAGTAACGAGCTTTCTAGTTTTAGATATTGAAAATCGTATTTCGAGAATCGGGGTTTTTATTTTTTCGAAAAGTCGAATATGAAAAGAAATATAATAACGGCTGTGATCATTGTCGTAGTCTATATCGCAGTTTCGTTAAGACGGGCCAAAGCCGACAATGTTTTTCCGAAAAAATATCATCATTCGACGCGCTTCCAAAAACTCCAAACGATCCGAATAATCAAGTCGCCCAATTTGTTCTCGCATTCTAACAGATGCGATGGTTTTGGAATACTAAAAAGGTCCATTAGTTGCGATTTCGACCCGGACGATTATCTGGACGTGCCCCAAATCATCAGAAGACACGGATATCCATCAGAAAGTCATGTTATCGAGTCTGAGGACGGATACCTGACCAAAGTTCATCGTATCCCGGGTACCAAGCAGGGGAATACTGGCGGACAACCTATTTTTCTTCAGCACGGATTGCTGGGCAGTAGCATCGATTGGATTGTCAACGACGGAAACAATGCCTTGGGTAATAAAAATTTTCTTAAAACCGATTGAACCGAATTTTTTTCGTTTTAAAATCGTTCTGACTGTATTTGTCTTCGAATAGAAGTAATGAAACGATTAATAATAATATAGTAGAATATTTAACTTTTAATATTATTAGCATATTACACTCGTTTTACCAAAAGCGGTAGCTAAAGTTATCCAGGTAGTATGTTTTCAAATTGGATTGCCTATCCAATATTACATTTTATGACACGATTAAAATAAATGTTTGTTGTAAAATCAGATTATACCTAAATTCATGACATTTTTAATAAATTGAAATTTATCAAAACATTCATTTTAAGGTATCAAATTCTTGAGTTCAATTGAAGTTGTGCAATTTAATAACAGACCATTATTGGAGAAAGTGGAGACTGGATAAAGATAGGCTTATAAAAATTGGATTGAGGGCGCAGGAGACTATGGCCTTAAAATATTTGAGACATTGCCTCGTGGCCACGTCTGCTCGAACAATACATCAGCTTCATTTGCTTCATTGCTTTTTCTAAAAACAAAAATTATTTTTAAAATTCCCATTTAATTTAGAGCAAATTTGGTGCATGAACTTGCTTTCGTGCGACGCACGGTTTTCGCTTAAAAAAAATAAAAACCATTTAAATGCATCTACTATAACCCAAATGAAATTTTGCAATGTTAATTTTTATGTAAAGTTCGCTCTATTTGAAAGTTGGCACGTGTAATGTTATGACTAGTGCCCATAAAAAGAAATAAGTATAATTTGTAATAATCTCCCGTACTTGTTTTGCGACGACACTTATAATTTTCAATTAGCATTCACGCGGTCCTTTTTAGCTTTATTTTTATTGATTAAAACTTGCAACTACATCATCATTTTTAAATGTACTTTTTTTAATTAAACTAGCAATTTAATCGACAATTTACCAATCAAAAAATCCTAAAGTGGCAAACTGAGCTTTGCTAAACGATAGTAATTCATTTCTTGATAACAACAACATGACAGTTGTCAAATTTATAAAAAAAATTGCACTTGGTTTGTTTGCTGGTGGTTTTTAAAAGTTTATTTAACAATTTATTACTGAAATTGAACTGAGGTGGCTTTTACTTGATGAAAATCCATTTATCAAAATAAATAAGAACTAAAAGTGCAGATTTTCACGAAATTATATATTATGACATGACAATTGTTTCGTGACTTCTGTTGTTGGTTTTCAATTTTATGTATTTGGGAAAAACTTTATTTTGCAGACATTTGTTAAAAAACCAAATGTTTTGGGAACATATTCGGCAACGTAGAAGCAATTTAAAATACCAAATAGCCAAGAAACCAATTTCAGCTTCTTTCAAAAATTGAACTGAGGTGGCTTTTACTTGATGAAAATCCATTTATCAAAATAAATAAGAACTAAAACTTCAGATTTTCACGAAATTATATACTATGACATGACAATTGTTTCGTGACTTCTGTTGTTGATTTTCAATTTTATGTATTTGGGAAAAACCTTATTTTGCAGACATTTGATAAAGACACGGTGTTGTCGAAACAATTGTCATGTCATAATATATAATTTCGTGAAAATCTGATCTTTTAGTTCTTATTTATTTTAATTTATTACTGGTTTTTGAAAGTTTATTTAAAAATTATGTGTTTGTCTTGGTGAAAATGGTTCATTTCACAAACCGTGAAATGGCCGATATACACTTCGTGTATGGAATGGCTCATGGTAATGATCGCGCTGCAAACCGCATGTATCAAGAAACATATCCTAACAGACAACTTTTTGTTAATATTCATTCCAGACTTGGTGAAACGGGTAGTTTTAAGAGGTTTACTAGTCCTAGCGGGAAACTAAGAACAGTAAGAACGGTTCAGATAGAGGAAGCATAAATGCTATTGAAGAAGACCCAGAAACTAGCACGAGGAAAGTTGCAACCGAATTAAACGTTACCCATGCATTAGTATCGCAAATTTTAAAAGATCAACAACTTTACCCTTATCATATGCAACAAGTTCATACCCTTTTGCCAAGGGATTTTCCACTAAGAGTGGCTTTGTATTGATTTACACAAAATAAGTTAGTGCAAAATCCAAGGTTTTTATTGACTAGGCAGGTTTTTCCCGTAACTCAAAAATAAACTTCCATAAAAATCCTCACGCCGTAATTGAAAACCATTTTCAAGAGCAAAATTTATATGAAATTTTTGTCTTAAAATCACGCAAGGAATCGTTTCTTAAAGTTTAGCAGCGTACTTCTTTAACACCTTGTATTTTAAAATTGTATGAACAATTTTAAAGCTCTATGCAATATACTCTCTTAATTCTCTTGAGCTATCTTGGAGGTAAAAACTATTTGTAGTGTAATCGTCTGTCCAAATAATTATTTCCAAAAAGTTTGATTCTTTTTCATATTTTATCAAAATCTGAGAGGGGTTGTTGAAATGAAGAAATTGGAGTGTAATTAATTCGCCTGATTTGCATGTTTTTAATTACAGAATGAGTCAACGATAGAGCAAAGATCATTATTTTATTGGCTTCAAAAGATATTAGAAAATTGTAAAAACAAAAGTTGTAAAGATTGTTGGGATCCACAATTACAAATTATTTTAAAGTATGCCGGGTGGCTCAAAAAAGCGTAACGAATAAAACACCGTATTTTTAAATTTTGTTTTGGATTCGTTTTTTTTTAATTATATTAATTTTATTAATAATACATACCTAAACTCAATAGTTTTTCTTATATTTTAATTTTTCTAACAAAAATATTGGATTTCTTGCATATACCTATTTTTAATACTTTGCGATTTATTTTATTATTATTATTATTATTTATTTATTTAACTTTTACAATATTCATCTTTCTTTCTGGCTAAGACTATTGCAATAACATTAGTTGGTAATGCCAAAACTATTAGCTAACAGGGCTATGTTAGGATTAAAAAATGAACAGGAGAACGAACTTTGTTGGAACTTTAGATAAAGCAATAGACAGTTATTATCAATTTTGGTTAGTTAGAAAATAACGGCTAAATTTACAATTCCCAGAAAAAGTAAATAATATTAAATATCTATTACTACAAATTAACTTATCTTATTTGTAATTAATATTATGGCGCAATAAATGTTCAAAAATATGCCCTACACATGTTTAGTTTTTTCGTTTCTTGAGCGGTCCTTAGCATAAACGGTGTGATTCTCTTGCACTCGTCCCGGATCCTATTTTTCTTATCTCTGGTATATATCCCCACAAAAGGAGATCTAGTGGTGTTAAGGCATTGCCGATCCATTTCTGTGGGTAATAATTATTCAAAATTTCTCGAACTTCTCGGTGGCAATTCGGTATTGCTGAAACCATATATGCTGGATCTCACTGTTATCAACTTCTTGAAGAACTTGTTTTATTCTACACTACCCATTAAGTAACCAATGATTTTCAATCAACTGTTGAATAATACATGTTATGACGATTAACTGCACTATTACTGCTCCATCGGATAACATTATTTTATCGGCTTCTATTCCATCTGTTTGAAATCAAGAAGGGGTAGTTCTATAAGGAAGGGATGTTATTTGTGTTTTCTAGTCGTGCGCTTAACGGTTGATTGGGATCACATAAGCTAACCACTTAACGGTTGCTGAACTTGAGATTATCTTGCAATTGAAGTAATATTTCCAATTACCACTTTTCTTTTTTCATATTTAGTATTACCACTGGCACCAAAGCGTTCCATTAAACACTATAGACATTGTCTAGTTGATATCAGGGATTTCGCCTCGAGGGCAACAAAGTATTTTTTCCGCAACACCCAGTGTGTAAATCATCATAGTTTTTTGTTTGAATTTATTGACACCACAATAAATTTTATGTATTTATTTACTCAGTTGACAGGTAAACGATTGACAATGTTATTTTGTCATAGCAAACTAATGTTATACCAATACTCTTCGACAGAAAGAAGGGTTAATATTGGAAAAGTTAAAATAAATAGCAAAGTATTAAAAATAAAAGTTTTAGTAGGTTTTTGTAAAATCTTTCAGAGATAATAATAAGATATATGGTATGCCATCAAGATTTTTCAATTTAAAATGATCCAAATATATTCATTTATGTTGAACACCCTGTAGCTTCTAATTAAAATTCCGCATATATTTTTTACGCCATCTTCGAATAAAGGTTTAAGGTTTAAAAAATAATAGCGCTATCGTAAATTTTTGTGAAAACTAGTATTTTTTTTAGAAAAAATAAAATATTACAAGAACTATTAGCTTTGGGTATGTATTATTAATAAAAGAGTGAATGAATTTTAAAAGCAATTCAAAACAAATTTTAAAAATAGGGTATTCGATTTAAATAATGTATGTTTTATTCGTCACGTTTTTTAAGGCACTCTGTAAACTTTAAAATAATGTTCAATTGTGCATTATAACAATCTTTACAACTTTTGTATTTTGTATATTTGTTTGCGTATATAGGATATACATAAAATTTATAGTAGATTATAGTTTTTAAAGGTTGTATCATTCATTTTTTTTGCTTTTAACTCAACGGTTTAAATTATATATGGTATGATACAATATCTTTAGATAAAAAATGAATGTTTTTTTATTGCCGCAATAAAATACAGGGGTTTCATTTAAAATTCACATTTATTGTACATTGATATATTTTCCAAAATATGCATAATTTTGTATATTTGCATTCTATTGGCAAGGAGCAAACAAAATTTCAGATTGTTATTTAAAATATTTGAAAGATTATGCAAAATTTTCTAAAAAATTATGTTTATGTTTATATAGAAAGTTTGAGAATGTTTCATAGAATCCAATCCCATCATAATCGCTATTTTTACTTTGGAAGCTACGGCCTTAACTAAGTCAGATGACATGACATTAAACCATTTTCTCAGATTTCTGAGTCAAGATATTCTTCTCCTTCCAACAGATGTTTTTCCTAAATGTTTTCTCTGGATTATGAGTTGCAGGATATGATATTTAGGACCTCTCATGATGGTTTCTCTTTTTCACTTTCTGAAAGATTTTTACATTTTTCTCCATTCTTTTCAGTATTCCCAGTATGTGATGAGAGTCCAAGCTTCTACACTACATAAAAGGACTTTGAAAACATAACATTTGAGCATCCGTATTCGCGGCTGCAGAGAAGTTTTTCGATCTTCATAAAGGATGCACTGGCGTTCTCAATTTCCAAACAGTAATCGATGGAGCAGTCGATACTTGTACCTAGGTACTCATACCTTTTGACCCTTTCAAGCTTTTCACTTTCCAAATGGAAATGTGTATTGATCGCCCCAGTTTTGGTGACAATCATATACTAATATTGAGTGTCAGATCATATTCTTGACTAACTGTGATCACTATTCAATATATTTTGTAGATCTCGCAACGTTTTCAGCGAGAAGTACTGTATCGTCCTCATAACGCAGATTGTTCAGTGGATTGCCGTTAACTCTTATTCCACCATTTTAACCTACTTTTAATAGGCCATCGGGTTTGAGACACCCTGTATATGACGAATATATTGATGATATGATGATAATTACGACATTGGAGCTTTGGCATATCTAACGAATTTGTTTATACCCTGGATATTATTACATTTTTAGATTGTACAAAACTTTTTAATGTAAGATGCGGTGATAGATCATGGCCAGAATCTATTTTAGAAAAAATATTATTTTCGGTTCTCTCATATGCTTCTCCACTTTTTTTACTACTTCTACTACTGCTCCGCAGGGAATCACTTTAAAACGTCAGTCCTTATTACATAATGCCGCGAAACGATTGGGGAGTTTCTGGGACTTTAGTCAAGGTTCGGAAGCGATCGGATATTTTCTGTAGATATTTATGGTGTTTTGGTGTTTGCCATCACGTCACTCATTAAAACGTTTATTAAATACTCGTTCGTCACTAAAGTGTCTTTTAGAAAACTTGTTGCATAATATACTGATGTGAGGTTCCTGAAACCTCTATGAAATTTAATGAGAAAGGCATTATTAGTATTAGTATTAACGCGATAATGTTTTGTTTAGCGTTTCTATTGGCTGATCAAGGATACGATGTTTGGATGGGTAATTCAAGAGGCAACACTTACGCCCGAGGTCATGTGTCTTTAAACGTCAACACCGTTCAGTTCTGGAATTTCAGTTGGCATGAAATGGGAACCAAAGATTTGCCGGCGATCCTTTATCATATTTCGAATATTACAAGTAAGTTCTATGATGAACAACTTGGTAATTATTTTGTTGTTTACCTAGATAAGTACGTTTTTTTTTATATTTTCACGTTGGTTAGTTTTGACTTGTTCAGGCACTCGTTTATTATAAGTTATCAACCATGTCGTATAATATACTATTTTATATTGAAATCTGATAATAATGGCGCTGAAAATTTAAATGATTTTTGAAATAGTTGCCTATGGCAAACAGCGAACGAAAATAAATTTTAAAGTTTTTCGAAAATAAAAATTAAATTACGAAAATTTGTCAAAGGTTGCCGTTTTTGATGCTTACCATTTCAAACAAGAGCATTCGAAAACAGTTGAAAATACACGGGCGTGTCTTTATTTCAAATTGGCCACACTGTATATTTCATTTTATTTGCCCGTTATTTGTTATTTATGAAAGTTGTTCAGCAAGATGTAATCGTAGAAAAGTACAATTTAATTTGTTTGTCAAACCGATCGATGACGCACAACTGCTAATTTTATGTAATTGATACTCCGCTAAACAGAATTTGAAAAGATAATTGCTGGTTTTCATACATGGCGTACCAAATTAAGTGCGCGCTATTGCTTCTTTGTTAATCGAAATGCGAAGTCGTTTAAATTTGAAATTGGGGATGCAGAGAAGCAATTGAATATCTCATTTCCGAATAAATCAAAAAATCGCAATGTTTCGTGACAAATCGGGCGTTTGTCAAACTTGGATACTATATGTATGATATACTTAATGCATGTCTTACAGAAAAACCCGGGGAAATAATTTACATTGGACACTCGATGGGCACAACGATGGCTTTCGTTTTTTCCTCAGTGTTACCCGAAATGGCAAAAAACTTGAAGCTCATTGTAGCAATGGCTCCGACAGCATATATGACGCACGCGCAAAGCCCCATCAAGTATTTGGCACCGTTTGCTAATGACGTTAATTGGGTGCTGAAAAATCTGGGAGTAAAAATATTTCTTCCTAACAGTAAGGTAAGGTAATGTAAAAGATACATTGGATGTCCCACCAAATAATAGCTCTCTACTGTATCTCTGAAAGTATTAACCGTGTAGTCAAAGCAAAAAATATTATAAATTTTCGCACAAAATTTCTAATAGGGAAGATGTATCAGAAATAATGCCATCATCCATAGTCTTATGTAAATTATGTATTTTTTCGTTTGAACCACTTACTGCTAAAATAAAGTAGTAAACGAGGGTTTGATCTGTTTATATTTAAATTTGCGAAACTCCGGATGTGGTTCTCCAAATCAAACGAGTTATTGGTCCCGTTTGAAATAAAAAAAATATATACAATTGATACTAGACGCTAGGGGTAACGTTATGTTATCTTTCAACTTAAAATTTTGAATTGGTCTAGAAAAGGTTCTAGGAAATTGAAAATAATTTATAGTAATTTCTCATGGTCTATTTGGTAAATTTTTCCGTAGACATGAAGCTAATACTTTCAGAAATACAGATGAGGGTATCTTAGTACTCCCGGTACATTTACAGAGCGCCAGCTCTGGCCGGATACTGCGGCCAGTCCTTTAAAAACTAACTTTACTCAAAGTTCCACTATTTGCTCCTTAACTTGCGGATATAGACAAAAAAGTATCTTCAGAATACTTTACAGATGCCTACAACATCGTACATCGCGGGAAAACTTCATCGATCTGTTATGGGAAAACTATAAGTAGCAAAAATTTGCAATTAATTAATTAATTGGTGAGGATAATCCGGCTAAAAAATGTTCAAGATTTCAGCACATCCAGATATACCGGACGTCGGTGTCAACTTTCTTATTTTAAATGGAACAGTCTATATATTATTGCTTTTTGGATTCCACACAAAATTATAGATATATTTCGTGCATCTAAATTTTACCGTTTTTGAGATATTTATCAGGTTATGTCAAAAATGCAAATTATATTTATTTCGCTTCCGAATTCCAAGTTTATCGCATGTTCTGGTTAAAACATCTAGCTATATATGATTTGGGAATATGGGAATCAGTCATCCGAGACAATGTTCATGCACTCTTTTAGCTCCGCTGTCCTCAAACAGTACATAAGCAGGTACAGAGTAAAATGCGAGCCAGTTTCAGTTAAGCTCTGAAGAAGTCAACATCATGATTGGCGAAACGTCAGCAAGTTCGAATCATCAACGACCGACGCAAGAGGAATCCAAAAGATTTGTAAATAATGTTGCAATAGCCTGTTAAAGTTTCTTTGAAAAAATAATTCAAATAATCTCATTGTGTTTATCTTATTATAGTTATTTAAGCTTGGTTATTGATAATTTTTTTATATTGCAATTGACAAGATACATCTTTGAAACTTTTGTCTTTTTTTACTCCTGCGCCAGTCTTGCCAGTCGTTATGGTTAACTCAGTTTAATTGAACGTTAAGAGCAGACCAAGCAAAAAAAAGTAAACAGCAATATCTCGAATACTATAAATATTGGGAATATACAATCGAATACAAAGTTAACCTAATATTTAATTCTGAATAAGATAGGATTATAAAAAGAGGTGGTTTCCATTTTAAACACATGAACTTCGCCAGTTTCTTCATTTTCCATGGGTAATAATCGAAATTACTGAGTTTGTTTGGCAGGCCATTTTTCAGGGTAAGTTGTAATATCTAAAATTTTAAAGGTTTCATATTTTATACATAAATTGTTGTGTTTCAGAAACGGGAAATTTAGATTTGGATATTGTACACAAAATGTGTTTTTTCCGTTCCATTTCCATTTGAAACAAGAAAGTAAACACCTACTTCCGGTATACCCAAATGAGCCGCCATCTTGAAAATATTTTTGCAATTCATAGTTTTCCCATAACAGACCGACAAAGATAGGCCGTCAAAATTTAAATTTGTGTGGTTTCACTCGGGAGCTCCTGGAACATATTTTTCTCATTTTTTATTTTTACAAATAAGTCCGTTATTTTTAGGTTTTAAGGTTTCTATCTTACGGATGTACAAAGAAATACACGAAGAAAATATGTGATACTTTGGTATTCGCACTGGCCGGTTTCGACGGATCCGAATTTAATACGGCCCTGTTGCCTAAATTGTTAAGCCACGATCCAGCAGGTACGTCAACCAAAACGCCGTTACACTACGCCCAGGAAATACAAAACGAGGGAAATTTTCAACAATTTGACTATGGACTCGAGGGGAATATGAGACAGTACGGTACTCCAAATCCACCGCAATACGATTTAAAGAAAATAAAAGTACCGATGCATCTAATTTACGCAGAGAATGATAAATTGACCAGTTATATAGACGTGGAAAGATTGTCGGAAGTCCTTCCTAATGTTGTCGGTATGGTGAAAGTCCCCTCAAAAAAATTTAGTCATGGTGACTTTGTTTTTGGGAAGAATGTTTACGAATTGGTTTATGAACCCCTTATGCGTGTGCTCTCTAATTATACTATGAAAAATTAGATAGAAAAAGATCAAAATGTGCCTTAGTTGTGATAATATGTATAAAATATATTTCATATATAATAAATCATGTTAAAACCACTGCTTTAATTACTTATAAGTCGAGAATCTCGGAAAAGTCTTGGCATGGAAAGTACTATAAAAAAATTTGGAATTAACAACATTAACATACATAAGTACCGGAGAGATTTTATTGAGCCCTGATGCCCACTCCAATAAAAAGTTGAAAGGTGAATGCCGTCAAGACTTTTTGAAAAGTATTTTTTTCTTTATTTTTTAAATTGAAAACGGCTCGAAATTAAAGTATATAAAGCTTCTAAAGACATCTGATCATTTTTAAAAATTTATAATATATAATAATTATAAAAATTTATGTCGAGAAAAACGTGAACTGCAAGTACAACATACCTAACAATAAGCTGGTCTGCAAAATGTCTTTTAGCGATTTCTTTCGAATCATAATCATGGAATCGTAAATACAGGAGAAAATAATATGAAAAGCAATGAGTCGGTAATATCGTCCATTTTAATGTACCAAATTCCAGCTCTTCTTTTGCTTGCAATGGCGAATATTATCAAGATCATTCGGCTACAACTTTCAGTTATCTTGAATTAAACAAGGCAATGCAGATGGTGGCCTGTGTCTGTCAACGTTTATTTACCTCTCGTTAAAAGTCTGCATTTAATCAGCAACAGAAATTTGAGATTTGTATTTCTTATGATTTGAAACTTGATAGCTTAATCAAATTCTACAATGCCCTTGTAGTCCCGTCATGGAAAATATCTATTGGCTATATTTACCAATTTTTGGTCAAAGGTGTTCCTGACGTGGAACGCAATGTCTTCTGTTCTGTGGACGTGGAATTCTTAAAATGCATTCTAATTGAAAGCTTTTTGATTATTTTTCTCATGTATTTAAGAAATTAAATTCAGTTTCAAAGTCCGTAATTTAAGGTAAGCATATCCTTTGGTTAAAGTATAGTTTGTCATTTGTTTTTTGTAATTTATTAGTGTACTAATCATGTTTCTTCATTTTAGATGGCTACATATGAAGAATACATACAACAAAATGAAGATCGTGACGGAATTCGTTTTACTTGGAATGTATGGCCGTCAAGTCGAATTGAGGCCACCCGCCTAGTTGTGCCCCTATCTTGTTTGTACCAGCCTATTAAAGAGCGACCTGACCTTCCTCCTATTCAGTATGACCCCGTTTTGTGTACAAGAAATAATTGCAGGGCTATTTTGAATCCCTATTGCCAAGTCGATTACAGAGCAAAGTTATGGGTTTGCAATTTTTGCTTCCAAAGGAATCCTGTAAGTCTTATTAGTTAACGGTGGTGCATGCGTCTTTATACATTTCTACACAGTTTCCTCCACAATATGCGGCAATTTCCGAACAACATCAGCCTGCGGAATTAATGCCTATGTTTTCAAGTATCGAATACACTATCACAAGAGCTCAGTGTTTACCTCCAATTTTTTTGTTTGTGGTGGATACATGTATGGATGAAGAGGAGCTAGGAGCTCTAAAAGATTCTCTGCAAATGTCTTTGAGTTTACTTCCCCCCAATGCCCTAGTGGGTTTGATAACGTTTGGCAAGATGATTCAAGTTCATGAATTAGGCGAGTACTTAATTTTTTTTTATTGTAGACTTTTGATCTAAATGTGTTAAAGATTTCTTTAAACTCACATAATGAAAGATTTTTTATAGAAAAAATGTTTTGTTAGGTACTGAAGGGTGCAGCAAGTCATATGTATTTAGAGGTACAAAAGATCTGACTGCAAAACAACTCCAGGACATGTTAGGGATTGGAAAGGTGCCTGTTAATCCTCAGGCTATGCAACAACCAAATATGAGGCCTGGAGTAACAGGGCAACCCGTGCAACCTCCAGTTCCACCAGCTAATAGGTTTATACAATCAGTATGTATGTTAATGGAATTAAAGCGCAATAATCCAAAAAATCTTCCTTTCTTTTGCATATTACTTAAAAGTTAAAAAAAATAAATTGCTAGTTAATTAATGATTTATTTCATTAGGTATCCAATTGTGAAATGAATCTTACTGACCTGATTGGGGAACTGCAAAGAGACCCCTGGCCTGTTCCTCAAGGGAAGCGTTATTTACGCTCGACCGGAGTTGCCCTTTCAATTGCTATTGGCTTATTAGAGGGTGCTTATCCCAACACAGGTGCTAGGGTGATGTTATTTGTAGGTGGTCCATGTTCCCAAGGACCAGGCCAAGTGGTCAATGATGATTTAAAGCAACCAATAAGGTGAGTGTAATGTAACATAATGAGCAAAAAAAATTAATAAATAATTAATAATAAATAATAATAAACAATTAATAAATAAATTAATAAACGTCTTAGTCAATGTGAAAAATATTAGTGCCATGGACCTGCTGGATGTAACAACAGGTGATTAGACAGAGTGGGTCAATATAACAAACAAAAACAAAATTTTGACGATGTACCTTTTTGATGTAGCTTCAGTAACGAATAATAATATTTTTGGTGCCGAAACCAGGGAAATAGTTTGTGTGGATCTTTGTTGAATGGCAATCCAACGACAAAGATGGACCTAGGACTCTGAAAAAGTTATCGCACAAATTTAACGAAGCTCGCGAAAACTATTGAAGATGTCATAACCTCGGAGCAGATCAACGTTAACGAACTTCTCGTCTTAGTAGCGCGAATTGAAGAAAAAATTGTGGAATATGTTGATATGACCGTAGGCAACGTTTGGAAATGGGAAATCGAGTGTTTTCCGTAAGAAATTCGACATCTCATACTTCTGATATTGGTAATGTACAAAACACTACAAAACACCCAAGGACATTTGTCTGTAAGGTTGCCTAAAATAGAACTAACTAAATTGGGAACAGTTTTGAGCAGCTGTGCACGAGAATCACAGTTTAAATGATGCTACAAAGTTAGTTTTTTTTTAAATGGTATTTGTTTGGCAAAGCGCCAGTAACAATAGGGGTCAATATGCTGACAGGGAAAGAATAAGAAACACCTACATTCAAATATTATTTTCAATAACGCGGGTAAGAAATGAAATGAAAGAGATATTGTTTCTTTGGAGAAGTTGTACAATACTTCTACCAGGATAATTAAATCCTTGTCTATGTTGGGAATTTCTCGGGACCAATAGTGAAGTCAATAATTCTTAGAGTTCGGCCCTATAACATGCGAGTAGCTTTTAATAAACAAAACGTATTAGGTGAATTAGCAACTAGCGACAGAGGGTCAGAATGAATTAAGCAGCAGTTCACACGATTTTAATAAGAGACTTACTGCTGTTTATAAAAATCGATATAGATTCTCCAGAGGGACGATGGGATAATAGAAATGTAAAAGAAAAGGTGTTTAGCAAAAACCAAGGACAGGAAAGCTCATTTACAGCTGCGGGTTTATTGTTTGTTTCAAAAAATGAATGTTTATTTTATAAAAACGATTCGCATCAAACTAAAGACTGTAAAGCCTACTTACAAATTAAAAGTAAAAAAGATATTTTAAAAGAAAAGCGATGTTGCTTTAGATGTACGCAGCCATGGCACACATCAAGATTCTGCAAAACCAACATCCTATGCGCCAAATATGCGCTCGAGAAAAATGAAATGCAAACGAGAAAACGAATAATCCGCTTCCTTGTTTATTATGAAAGGGTTAGGAGGCGTTTTTTTGAAAACAGCTCGTGGTTTCATTTTGCCTAAGGACAATCGTCAGGAAAGGATGGTTCATGGTGTCATAGAGGGAAGTAGTCCATTAATGTTTATAAAGGAGACTATCTCGAGGTCATTGGGGTTGACAGTAGTAGGACATCACAGAATATCAATAAATCGATTTGGAACGCTGGGTAATGGGGTACTAGTTAATCTAAAAAGCCAATACGAAAATGAAATCCAAAAAATAACAGCTATTGAAGTTCAGGAGATCTATTTTGATATGTTGGTGCCGGTCCTGGTAATACGTGATATTTCGCTGAAATAGCAATTAGCCGATATTTACGTTGACAGAACTCTAATAAGTGGAATTACTTTACTTATTAGTGCAGATTACTATAGGAATCTCGTCACTGGTAAAACCAAAGTTAGGTTGGACATTACATGGATCATCAAAGAATTTCGATATGTATGACCTTTTTGTGCACTTCAACATGACATCCGTGCTAAATCTAGGAGCAGCCTATGACAACTTGGACCTTAAGCATTTTTGGTCGTTAGAGGCGGTAGATATAAATTGCGGCGAAAAAACTACAGTGTGGAAAAATAATTCGATATTATTGGACTCCAACTACGCAGAAGCTGTTGCTCGTTTGAACATTTTAATAACGAAACAGCGAAGAACCGGAAAACAAATCGAGTGCGACAACTCTTTACGCGAGTACATAGTGCGCCTCATCAACCCAATAGTAAAATAAGGTACTATATACCGCAGTTACCGTGAAGATAAGGAAACAACGAAAGTGAGAGTGGTTTTCGATGCATCAGCGCATGCGTCGGGATTCGCATCTTTAAACGAACTTGTATTAACCGGTGATAATTTTGTCCCTGATTTGTTGAGATTTTTGATAAACTTTAGAGTGGGTGCTATTGAACTTATCGCAGATATCGAAAAGATTTTTCTCCAGATAACGCTTGCCGAAGATGATCATACTCACTGTTTTTTGGGATTTTCTAATCCAATGGACGAGACAAATTTATCAAAGCCAGAATCTCCTTAAGTCTGCATTTATCGTAGGATTCGTGTCACATTTGGAGTGACCGCCAGCCCGTTTCTGTTAGCTGCTACGTTTAAGAAGCACTTATCCAACCAACCAGATCACCTGAAAGAAAACAGCTAAAAAATTGGGCCAATTATTTTATGTGAATGATTATTTTGGAACTGCAGATTCTTGTGAAGATGCTAATGCTATTTGATGAAACTAGACAAATTATGGGATCAGCATTACACATCTTTGCTGACGCGTATCCACAGGCGTACGGAGCAGTGCAATTGAGGAACGAAAAGTAAAATTCTTAATATCAAACAATTGAATGGCTCCTATGAGTTAAAGAAGAGACAACGATCTCGCCTCACTGAAACTAGAACTTAACCGCAGCGCTATGTGCAGCAAGATTAGGAAATTACATTTCACAGAACTCAAATTTTAATATTAAAAATGTTTTACTATGGTCAGGCTCAACTTTATATTGGATTGAAACCTTATATTCAAAATCGTGTGAATGAAATCATGAAAATCACCAGGGATGTTTGGAAATACTGCCCAGGAAAAGAAAATCCACCACTTTTACTTACAAGAGGGGTTATTATATGGATTGAATGTGATATCTGATTTCATGGTCCACCTTGGTTAAAGGAGGATAGAACCTCATGTCCGAACAGTATTGTTGCTGATGTTAACAGCTTCGCGCGTCAGACAACCAGTTTATTAACCAGCACAAAAGAAAAGTTAACTAGTTTTGAACCCCTTTTTGATGTGGAAAAGTACAAAAAAAATGAAAAGGTAGTAAGAATAACTACTTATGTTAGAAGTTTTATCAGCAATATTAGGTGTCCTGAAATGGTGAACAGACCTTTATCGAAACAAGAACAGCTAATATCAAGGTTCTGGACAAAGTGGGGCACAGACTACCTTCCACAGTTACAGACTGTGCACCTCAGTAGTACTTCTATAAGAACAAAACGTGTCCAGACTCCAGCGGAAAATTGTAAGTCACCGAAATCTATACTGGACGTGAAGGAAGTCCACGCGCGTATGAAATTCAAACAACTGATGGAACTGTCTTCGGCGACAAGTTCAGTATATTTTCCTATAAGAACGTGAATTTTGTTTGCCCGGGGAGGATGTGAAAAATATTAGTAGGATGGACCTGCCGGACGTGGGTGATTAGACAGAGTCCCGATATAAAAACCAAAAACATATATTTTGACAGCAAGTGACCTGTTGAAAAGGCAGTGAGGGCGTTTTTTTTATTTCACTTTGTTAACCAATTCACATTAAACTATTTTGCGACGAACCCGGGGTAGCTTCATTAACGATTATTCATAGTCAAGCTCTTAAACTATAAAGCTATCACCTATAATATATATATTGCATTAATTTTTTGTAGGTCGCACCACGACATTCATAAGGATAATGCGAAATATATGAAAAAAGCAATTAAACATTATGAGAATCTTGCTATGCGAGCTGCAACCAATGGCCACTGTGTAGATATTTATTCGTGTGCCTTAGACCAAACTGGACTTATGGAAATGAAACAGTGCTGTAACTCCACTGGGTAAGGGAGCATAGTTCAGTGTCCTTTTTGTTCTTATTCTAAATTAAAATTAAAAAAAATACTTTTCCATCCCTATTCCAAAAGATAATATAATGTGTATAAATTTGTAATATGTAAATATAATTAATGCAAGTATCAAGTGGATCGAAAGTTATCTTCATTATTCCACTTCAGGCTTTTTTGGTGTGAGTGAGTCAGGGTTTGGGAGAGATTGGTTATTTTCAGTAGACTTTAGTCATGATTTTTTGACATTTGTCAGATCTGACGGTTATGTCACACACCACTAAGTCAATATTTTGAGCTGCTTTGCAAAAATGTACCCACTTACTCTGCTCTGCCAAATTACTCACTATTAAAGCCGCGTTTATCAACTTCTTGCATAACTTGCTATATACAAATTATTAGTAGAATTAAGTTTTATAATCGTAAGGGTGCTAAAACTAAAAGCCACAGACCCATTTCATTGCGCCTTGTCATTTTTTGTTGTATGTTGTCTTACCACACAAAGTGTTGGTGTATTTTCAGTGGCACATGTTATCAAATTACTGTATTTAATTTTTCCTAAAAATTTATGATTTGCGTATTTTCAGTGGCACATGTTATTAAATTACTGTATTTAATTTGTCCTGAAAATTTATGATTTGCCTTTATTTCACTTTATAATGGAAATTTTCATACTTTAATAATGTTTTTCGTTTGTTCCTATATAGAGGGCACATGGTGATGGGTGATTCTTTCAACTCTTCATTATTCAAGCAGACATTCCAGCGCGTTTTTGCAAAAGATCAGAAAAATGAATTAAAAATGGCTTTCAATGGTACAACTGAAGTTAAATGCTCTAGAGAATTAAAAAGTAAGTTTTTGCAAGTTGATATTCTGAATTGTAAGTCCAACATTTAAGAATCTAAAAATCTGAAGTTTTTACAGTTTGACTTCTGATTAAGTATAAAAGAATATATTTTTTGATAAAATAAATTGTATTGGTCATCTGTTTGTTTTTAGTTCAAGGTGGTATAGGCTCCTGTGTTTCTTTAAATGTGAAAAGCCCTTTAGTGGCGGATACCGAGATTGGAATGGGCAACACAGTTCAGTGGAAAATGTGCACATTCACGCCAAGCACTACCCTGTCCTTGTTTTTTGAAGTAGTCAATCAGCATTCAGCACCAATTCCACAAGGTGGAAGAGGCTGTGTTCAGTTCATCACCCAATATCAGGTAAATTATCATAGAATAAAGTCACGTCGTGACTTTTTTACCTATCCCATGCAAAGCTCAACAATAAATGAAAATTTTAGCATTCAAGTGGACAACGAAAAATTCGAGTCACGACTATAGCAAGAAATTGGGCAGATGCGACAGCAAATATACATCACATCAGCTCCGGTTTTGATCAAGAATGTGCTGCTGTAATCATGGCTCGTATGGCGGTGTACAGGGCTGAAACTGACGAGAGCCCTGACGTGCTAAGATGGGTCGATAGAATGCTTATTCGTTTGGTAAGAATTTAATACAAATTAGTAGAAGCTGCTGAAATAACCTTAAACTTAAACCTTAAAATGATTTTTCTAAAAGTCGCTTTTAATAAAATCTATACAGACACCTTAAGGATGTTACATACATTCCTTTGATTAGATTTGAAATAAGGGATTTAATTAAAAGGTCTGAAAAGAGAAAGAAAAATGTCATGTAGAGATTTAGATAAATAGAATAAAAATATTCTGTGCATTTTCAGTGTCAGAAATTCGGAGAATACAACAAAGATGATCCGGCATCTTTCAGGCTTAGTGAGAATTTTAGTTTATATCCGCAGTTTATGTACCATCTTCGAAGGTCTCAATTTTTGCAGGTGTTTAATAATTCGCCAGATGAAACTTCATTTTACAGGTAGTTTACTAATTTCATATCTTTCGAGACAGCATACCCCTGCGTTGTTTTTTAGGCATATGTTGATGAGAGAAGATTTAACACAATCTTTGATAATGATACAACCAATATTATATAGTTACAGCTTTAATGGCCCGCCAGAACCTGTTCTGTTAGATACTAGCTCCATACAGCCGGATAGAATTTTGCTTATGGATACCTTCTTTCAGATATTGATTTTCCATGGAGAAGTATGTAGTAGTGTCTTGTTTCACAGAAACAATATGTCTCTGAAAAAATTTAACATTATAAATATGGATTTTACATTTTTTACCTAATTACCTAACGTCTTTTTGTGGGCTTCATTAAATAGTCATTAAAAAATTTGTGTTTTGTAGACTATAGCCCAATGGAGAAACTTAAAATACCAAGACATGCCGGAATATGATAATTTTAGGCAACTCTTGCAAGCACCAGTTGATGATGCTCAAGAAATTCTACAAACCCGTTTCCCCATGCCTCGGTATATAGATACGGAACAAGGAGGCTCCCAAGCCAGATTCCTGCTGTCCAAAGTTAACCCGAGCCAAACGCATAACAACATGTACTCATATGGAGGGGTAGGTTGTTTTTGAAAACCCTCCCTAAGTTTGTGTGGCAGGAGAAAGTTTTTGTTTGATTTGGTTCCTGTGTCCATAGCATAGTTAATTATTTTGTAGTCAATTTTCCATATTCAGAAGGACAAGATTTAAAACAAGTCCTTTATTAAATTTTCGATGAGGTGTGGTGGTAATTTGAAATTTAAATTTGCATTTTTGTTTCATGTGTTGCGGTATAGGCCATTATGACAGGTCCTAATGGGGTAAATGTTTTTTGTTTTTGTTTTGGTGGTTTGGGTGTCTAACTGGTGATGGTTGAAATACAAATTTTATATATAGTTACTTTGGTAATGCTTTTTGTCTACCATTAACAGATACATCCTTCACATGTTATTAAATGTTTTCCTTCTTCATTTCCTTTGGTCGAATTCAATTTTGTATTATTTTGGTACATTTTTTTTTTCATCATTATTTCATAGTATACATGTATATATTTTTTATTTAGGATGCTGGAGCTCCGGTACTGACCGACGATGTGTCCTTGCAAGTATTTATGGACCATTTGAAAAAACTGGCAGTTTCTTCAACAGCCTAATGAAACTTACCTTGTTATAGGGTTTTCAGTGTTTATGCTAGGAATAAGTAATATGGAATGTATTTTTTTTTAAACAGTTTATTATATTTTGCAAAAAGGACATTGTGAAATTAAACAGTTTCTTATGAAGATTTCTAATTTTGTTATAGACTATAAAATTAAATATTATTTATGTTAACATGTATTTTTAAATAGGATTTGGTTTTCTCTAGAAACAGAAACAAAAACTGGTGTAAGCCAGTAATATAATTATTTAAAAATGTCTAGAAAATGGAAACTAATATAAAGAGAGAATTATGAGTGGTGAATTAATAGTAACCTTCCCCCTATTTTCTACTTTTTCTCATGTTTCATATATTTTTCTTACAACTTGGCTTAGAATGACTAAAAGTTCCTTTGACGCACAAAAGACAAATTACTGTATTTTAACAAACTGTCCATTTAATAACAACTAGAAAGAATATCAAATTCTAACAAATATAAAATTAAACTTTAATTAAAATATAAATTTTATTAAGATTCCTACCTATCTCAATAGGGACTTAAGACTAGAACGAGCAAAATTACCAAACCACCCAGGCAATTCAATATTCAATTTAAAAACCTGATACTCATTTTCTGTTCGACATCAGTTCTTTGGAGGGCTTTGCAGAATTCTTCAAATGATATCATTTGGTCACCATCTTCATCTGCTTCAATAATTGTTCTCTCTGCTATACTTGTTAACTGCTCTTCACTGATGTTTGTCCCTACCATCATGTGCAAAATTGCTAGCAGTTCATCTTTTGATATCAGGTCATCATTATCTAGGTCATATAATTTGAAGGCAACTAAAAAAATAATTCAAGTTTTTTTTGATGGTTTGATTTCTGGAGCTTTACAATTCATATTCATATTGGAATTTTTATTATCTGAATATATCTTTACAATTAGATCCTTACATTTTAACTTTTCTTCGCGGCTATTCAACTTATTCTCTTTATTCTTTTTGACTGGCCGGAAGTGCGACAAGACATGCATGAATTGCCTAAAATTGACTCTGTCAGTGAACTCGTCCCCTTGGAAAAACGAGTTTACAATTCTTTCTCCTAATGGATTTATGGCTAGTTCCGGAATTCTCAAGAAATCATCTCTACTTAAAGTTCCGCAGTCATTCCTATCAAGTGCCGTAAATCTGGAGTACAGCCTTTCAATTTGTTTAGCGGTAACTGAAAATATTTTTATATGAAAAAATAACATGAAACTATAATTCAGCTTACATCCTGTTTCCTGCTGAATTTGTTCGATCTCTTCTTCCCTCAACAACAATGAAGATCGGTTTCCCATTTTAATTTTCCTTGGTTAACTTTTTCAAAATATGTTCTCAATACGACATTCAGCCTGAACTTCTTTTGACCTTTGAAAGTTTATTAACCAAAAAGATAACAATTTTTATTGAACGACGGCTTTTGTTATGGGATCAATCACAGAATACCAATAGATCAAGTTATTTTTATCAAAAATATAGAATTATAAAATTGGCGAACGGACAATATTCGACTCTTAAAAAAACTAAAGATTATGGTTATATCAAAGATTTATTTCCGCCGAAACAACTTTACTGCGCTATTTGCTTGCTTTGCTTGTATTTGGTATTGGTTCTTTTGTAATATTTTACAAGCAAAACGTATGTCCTTCAGCGGCTAAACTATCTGATTCTTTTTTTATAAAATAGAAGTAACGCGTGATTTAAGTTATCAAGGTCTCTGTTCTCTCTGTTTTCGCGAGTTTATACTTGAAGGAATGGCCGAATGGGTACAGCAGGCCTGCCTAATACATTGTGAATAAAAATATTTTCATAAAGAAATTAAGAGATGACTAACCATAGATCGGAAATGGATAACTTTGCTTTTATTCTCTAGCTAATTGCAATTGTACAGAATTGTAGCTTTTATAGTTCTGCAAAGTATGTTACATGTATACATTTATAAATCTATAAAAATTAACGATGGTTTGTTTTCTGTGTGTAAATAATTATTTGGTAATTGTTGATGGATGGAGGTAACAAACGAGCGCCCTAAGATAAATTACCCAACGTAGTAAAAACAAAAGAAGAAAGAATTTTCCGTGACATCTAAAACTGTGCTAGTACTATAAGTTTTTTTGTTAATATTTTGTAGTATTTTTTTCATTCCATCATGAGTTCGGGCTTTATAACCGCAACAGAACTTGCTGACATTCGTAAAAAACGTCAAGAAGAATGGGAAAAAGTTAGAAAACCCACTGATCCTTTAGGTTCTGTCTAAAATTTTTTCTTTTGATTATTTAAAAACTCACAGTTTATTTGGAAAAACTAAAGAAATTCGTTCACTATTACTTGTTTTAGAACGACCGGAAGTTCCTCAAGATAACAGAAGCTTGTTCGAAAGGCTACAGGAACAAAAACAAAAACGAGATTTGGAATATGAAGAAGCACATAAATTAAGTAAGTATATTTAAAATATTTTCAAGTTTAACTTTCTAGTTAACTCTAGGAAGAAAGGAGTAATAAGGCTCACATCATTCTGTCTTTTACAGAGAATATGATCAAAGGTCTTGATGATGATGAAATAGAATTTCTAGATTTAGTAGACAGAACTAAAATTGCGGCAGATCGAAAAAAAGAATTGGAGGAAGAAAGGGAGCTTACAGATTATCGTAATCGTGTTGCGATTTTACAAGAAAAATGCATTGAAGAACGTCTTCAGTCAGAAATAGCAATAAATAAGCCAAAAATAGTACCAAACAACAAATATTCCCAACAAAAGTTATTACAGGGAATAGTAGTGAAGAAAACATTGACCATGAAGAGAAAAATAAGTAATGAAGAAAATGATACTAACTGCAGTATGGAAAAGCAAATTAAACAGCAGAAATCAGATGAAAAAACACAAAACTCAAGTAAAGAGACAGTAAATACTTCGGCATTAGAATGCGTAGCAATTTTGCCAGGATTGGGATGTTATGGCGACTCTTCATCAGATGAAAATAGTTCGGATTCAGAGTCGTCTGAAGTAGAGACTACTCCTAAAAAAGATCTCCTAGGACGTAAATTGCAAGCAGCCCCCGAAAAAACAGAAAAGTGATATTTTATGTTTAAAGCTTATGCATGTATATTGGTTTAGGTTATTATTTAGGTTATATTAAAAAATCTAACTTCATATCATTTTATTTTGATGCATATTTTAAAACAGAATATGTATTGACCATATGAGTGAGCATAAATAATTAAAAGACAAAAAATATTTGTTTTAGAGGCAGACACAGGCTGGCAACTGTGTAGGCTACTGGATAACAAGTTACACTAATTTAAAATGACCCTGTCAGATATTTTCCATTAATGTAACAATTTATTATCAATTATCACAATAACTAAATCTTTAAACTTTATAAAGAGACAGACAAAAGGTGTAGAATATTTTGGACAATATATCTACTGGCTGATTATTTACAATTTTGCTTCAAACCGTAACATCATAGCATTGGCATTTCCTGGTTCCAAAGTGTATCCTAAAGATTTGTAAAATGGTATCAAGTTATCTTTGCAGTCTAATGACATTTTATAGCATTTCAACTTTTTAGATAGTAGTGTTACAGTAAGTACTATCCTAAAACAAAAAAATATTAATCAACATACATTTGGAATTTTGCTTGACTTACAATTTTCCTAACTGTTTGCCTCTGTACGTATTGTTAACTACTACATCCTCCAATCGAGCACGTGCCCCGCAGTGGTGTATGAATTTCATTTCTATTACTAGAGTTGCAGCTGCAATAAGTTTGTTGCTTCTTGCGTCTTCAATTACAGTTACAAAATAGCAACCTGCCTTTTGCATTTTTAAAAATTGAGCTAAAATGTATTTTTACTGGAGTTTTTAATGCTTCGTGGATTAAAACATACCTTCAAACTCTCCTTTTGAAATTTCTCCCACAGTTGTTAACTGTCCCAGTAGTTGTAAGAAACCCTTATCATAATCGTCAATTTGTAGGGGTCGAACCAGAAGCCAGTCTTCACCAGGATCTTCATTTGTAATAAATGGATGCAATTTATTTTTCACAGAAACCCAATCCAAATTTTTGAGAATCTCAGCATTGTATAAAAATATCTGATCAGTTTTACTGTTATGTTCCTAAAAGACAATGGTTAAAATCGGTATAAAACTAGTATAAAAAAAATTATGTTAAAAATACCATTTTTTGTTACGTTGGCAGCCAGTGGCCAGATTTAAATGGATTTATATAAATTGGATAGATTAATCCACTGAAATCTTCAGATAAGAAATAACATGCAAACACTACAAAAATATTTGATTTTTATAAAAATAAGGTAGCAAGTATTTATCTAATTTAGAAAGTTATCTACGTGGATATGCCAAACTAAATTGAAGGTAATCTGGCCTTTTTTTTAATTAAAAATTATGTTATAAGTACTGAACCATCACACAAAGTTCATAAACATACATTACATTAAAAAAAAACTTACAGTTAAAACATAATAATTTCGCTTACCGCTTTCGAAATTCCCATTTTTCGCAATGCAAGGTTAACTATTATCCACCATACATTTTTCAAACAGTTTTGTAAATTTTAACCTTGAAGCGCCAACTTTCACGAAAACGAAGGTATTTTTCTTGATAATAATCTGAACCTGGGACAAATGGTATGTTCGGATTTCCAGTCTCCCATTATTCATAGAATATCAGAAAACAGCATGGATACGATATCTGTGGTGCTAATTTCTAACCTTATGCTACGGTCAACCGATGACGCTCGCGAGCAATGTACTATAAACAAAAAACGATTGTTGCAGCTGAACACACGTTACTTTGGCACTTTTAATTCAAAAAAATCGGTGGTGATCCTGCAGTTTATGTGGGAACCATATGTATTGTTTTAATACGTTTATAGTTTATCGTGGATAAATACTGAATTATGATCGGTGATTCCACAATGTTTTAATGCTTTACAGTGTTGCTAAACTTTTATATTCCGTCGAATCATTAAACAAAAGTGCAAAATTGAAATGTTCAAGAACGCCCCAAAACTAACAAAAATTAATTGGCCGAAATTAGGCAGTAGGTAACGAATTTCTCGTACTCATCAAGCTAAGCACTCACCTACGACTTGATGACAATGCATTGGAACTTAAAATATCGATAATTCAAAAAAAGGCTGCTGCAATAAATATATGAATGTATTTTATTTTGTTTTATTTATAACACGTACTATTTTGTGATATACCTAAGTGTAATATGTTGTACCTTGCTCCAAATTTGAATTAATTCGTTTTGGTTAATTGTAAATTTATACCCCCGTGTCTATGTAAAGAATACTGTTTTTATTTATAATCAAATTCTTCCTAGTTGCGATGAATCAATAAATCAGGTAACACGTTAGTTAGATACCGATAAATCGTACTACTAAACACGTTGATGTGCTTCACAGAACATCTATCCCGGAGCCTATCGAAGACTCAGGGAAGCAGACAATTAAGATGACGAGTCAACTCATAGGAGACTGAAGTGCACAGTCAATGACTCACATCACCAAATATTTATACACATCTACATTTCTTTAAATGTAACCCTTATTTCATAAAATAATAAAATGAGCTTAAATTCCTCCTTAACAATATACCCGGGTTGAGATTAAAAATAAATAACATAATAAAGTATCTCATACTTTTATTTTTATATTTTATTTGGTTTTTTAACATATTGCGTCCTTAAAAAAATAAAAATAAATAACCTATGCTCGTGAGTTTCAATCACTTGCTAAAAGAATAACAGAATCGAAACAACCTTCAATTTTCGGGTTTTTGGAACTTCAAAAGCTTCTAATAGCTTCTAAGTAGGTGTGCATTGAAATCGAGAACTTTGTGCCAATTGAGGTATACTTATATTTTAGATTTGTATACAGTCTGCTTCTTAAATTTGTTAGTTTCTAATAATTTTTGAACCACCTGGTATATTTCAATTTGGAAAGCCTAAATAGAAGATGAAAACCTAGTTTAACTGTTACACTTTCAAAATCTGTTCAGGGTATTTTTTCTAATAGATTTTACTAAATTAAGTTGATGTTACGATTCATCTTCCTTGAGATGATGGTTGTTTTTATCTACTTTTAATGGCAAACGGACTGCCTCAAGGATCAGTTTTGGGTCCACTTTTTTTTAGTGTATAAATTCTGAATACATCTCTTCGGTGAATAAGACGAAATCTAAAGAGGCGAAAATAATCGTATTTGTCGATTTCCCCATTTTCATTCCACCTACAAAATGCCCTTGGGGCGCAATCACTTTGAAAATCGATAAATATCCAGTCCTAAATGCTATCCTGTATCGCATCTGCGCGGGGCTCGTTATCCCGCACAGCACTCGCGAGGTTTTCCGTCGATGTTCCGATGGACCTCTAATTTTTGGTTTTGATTTTCACCGTTTCGGTTTTTAAATTATCGTTTCTTTAAAAGATGAACACGAACTATACATTTCCCATTGTGACAGAGTGTGTCGAGTGATCGTACAAATTGATTCGATAGTTTGCATCGTACGTAAGAAAAACTTAGACGCGATATTGATTTTAAAGGAAAAAACTCTATACGAGACGACGGCAACTAAACTATAAATAATTAAAGTGGTGCAAGATGAATCGGTTTGGGAGCTTGAAGCTACCGCCTTTGAGTGCCGCCGTCAACGTGGCCAATCAACTGAAAAGGCAAATCGTTCCGGAAAAACCTCAGGATCAACCTCGTCACACCGAGAGAGTTCATTTCGCCCAAGTCAATCATGCATCGCACGGAGGCGTCGGAGACGAACATCACGAATTATCCAATATACAAATGAATAATCCCAACAATCCGTTTTTGCAGATGAGGGAAAATAGTGTCCAACAAGAAGAAAGCAAATTCGGTAATGAAACAGGTATCACGAAGCAACAGAGCAGGATGTCATCTGATTTTTCCGAAGGCTCTGATTTTGTTGAGGGTAAAAGCGAGGTCAAAATTAACGAATATCAGGCCGCGTGGAATGTTACTAATGCGATCCAGGTAAGACCCAATTTTTTAGTCCGCTAGGATAAAATTTCGTTTCGCTCAAACTACTCATATAGGGTGATAATTTCAATAATTTTAAATAATGTTTTAACTGTAGAATCCTTATCTCATATTTAGATTTAACCCAAATCTTACTAGATAATAAACGTTTCTGAGCCTATGATAGTGGAAAGTGAGTGATTCATCTTTTCGAATTTCTATCACACTGACGGAACTGCAATTTTAGTACTTTTTATTCTCCAATACTTTATATCAAAATAACAATGATAAATCATTATTTATCGAGATATCTAAAGTTAAAGATAAAGCTGCACAATTACTTATGTATTTATTAATTATGTCGGAGATTTTGTGTCGAAGAATTGTATCTTTTACGCAAATTAAACTTCAATCCGTATGATTAATACAAAACACAAATTGTTGTTACATTATAAATAAATCGAAAATTTAAAATAATAACACTTCTTTTTCGTAATACAGTGACATACACAAAGTTTCTAATCAATGTGTTTCATTTTCAATAACAAAAAAAATCAAATTTGACAAATGATAATTTCTTTTACCCGTTTTTGATTCCTTGTTACTATACAGCTAGGTTTTTTAATATTTTGAGTTTTGTAACTTTACTAGCGATCAGTAAATTATTAAGCGCATTCACCAATTTGTCAGAAAAGACATTTTAAATTTATTGAGAAAGGAAGGATTAATGTAACAACCCATTGAATTTTCGAAAGAAATGTTATATTTTAAGGAACTTGCAATAAAGAAGAAATAAACATAAGGGTTTTATGAGAATCTAAAATAATTGTTTTCATTTTGTTTTGGTGCAGTTGCACTTTATTCTAAATGGGTTATTCATTTGTTATATTCTTGGGGTGTCGTTTTGACGTTCCCCCTTTTTCCCATGATGTTTTTGTTGCCAACGCCGATGAAATCTGACTAAGTGAAAGAGAACAAAATTTTCAAAATTTCTTTAAGTTGGACACAATTTATTACACATGGAAAATTGTTGTATTATTATTATTATTATTGTTTTGTATTATTTAATGAATTAATTAATTCAAATAAATCCCTAAAATATCAAATTTCATCAGTGTGTTTGTGTACATTGTTAGTTAAAATAAAATTAAAATGCAAATATGAAAATATAACTGTCATTTATTTACATTTGCATTGTAGGGTATGTTTATCGTGTCCCTTCCATTTGCCGTTATGAGAGGCGGATACTGGGCTATAGCCGCGATGATTGGGGTAGCTTATATCTGTTGCTATACTGGAAAAATTCTGGTCGAATGTCTTTACGAGTTTGATGTCCAAACAGGAAGGTACGTTTAAACTACATAAACGAATGCGAGGTTTTGGTTTGAAATAATTTTGCAGGATGATGAGGGTGCGAGATTCCTACGTCGGAATAGCAAAAGAGTGTTTTGGCAAGAAATATGGTGCCAAGGTGGTCAGTATTGCCCAGATAATAGAACTACTTATGACTTGTATACTTTACGTTGTCGTGTGCGGAGATTTGATGATCGGAACTTTTCCAGAGGGCGCCATTGACACTAGATCGTGGATGATGGTGATAGGAATTTTGTTGTTGCCATTAGGTGAGCTTGAAACCATGCATATCGAGTTATTTTGCCCGTGACTCTTTTTAGTTTACTTGGTTGTGGTTGGAATGTTTTAACACTAAACACAAAAATTTATTTCTAAACTCTTGCGAAATATATCTTCACTAACCACTGTCGATTGCCATTTGCCCATAACCTTTTCATTTGTGAATTTCTGATTTGTTTGGGTCAAATAATCATTGATCATATTTTCCTCTCGTAAAATTGGAAATGTGCCTTAATATTTTTAATATATAACGAAGAATACAAGTTTGTGAGTTTAGTGAACATTTGTCTATAGTATGTACTATTCCGCTGCTCTTTAAAAAGTTTAATAATAATGGTTCCCTTTGGGTCAAAAGCTGATGTTGATGACAAACCTTTAACATAATATATCGGCAAACATATACAGAACAGTATTACATTAATTTACTTTTGGTTCTTTGTGTGAACCAATCATAGATTCGTGTTTCTACCCTCGCTTAGTAGAGTGTGTGTGAGTAGAGTCGATTTGACCGACTTCTAGGCGTGGACAGGACCAAAATCTTTAGAAGTTTCAATGGGGACTAGATTTAACATCGGCATTTCTTGCAGGGTTTCTCAAGTCACTGAAGAGCGTCAGTTTGCTGTCGTTTTGGTGTACAATGTCGCACATCCTCATAAACGTCATTATCTTGGGCTACTGCCTCCTTCACATTGGGGAATGGGGTTGGGGCAGCGTCAAATGGACATTGGATTTGGAGAACTTTCCAATAAGTTTGGGAGTAATCGTATTTTCTTATACTTCGCAAATATTTTTACCAACTCTCGAAGGAAACATGGAAGATCCTTCGAAGTTCGAATGGATGTTGGATTGGTCTCATGTATGGGCGGCCGTTTTTAAAGCTCTCTTCGGTTACGTTTGTTTTTTAACATTTCAAAATGATACTCAACAAGTTATTACAAACAACTTGGATTCTGCCGGATTTAAGGGATTGGTAAATACATGTTTAGTAGTCAAGGCTCTTCTGAGCTACCCGCTGCCCTATTACGCCGCGTGTGAGTTGCTGGAACGTTCATTTTTCAGAGGTAAGCCGAAATCCCGATTTCCCTCAATCTGGGATACAGAGGGCGATTTAAAAGTTTGGGGTTTAGGGTGGAGGGTCGGCGTTGTAATATTTACAATATTGATGGCTTGTTTTATACCACATTTTCAGATATTAATGGGATTTATAGGAAGTTTTACCGGCACCATGCTTAGCTTTATTTGGCCGTGTTATTTCCATCTCAAATTGAAAGGCAAATATTTGGAAAGGAAGTCCGTAATTTTTGACTATTTCATTATATACTTGGGGTGCATTTTTGGAATCATAGGCATTTACGATTCGGGAAGGGCCTTGATTAAAGCCTTCCAAATAGGTCTTCCATTTTAAAGTGATAATGTTATTTTAAGGGTAACTTTTTTTTATATGTATTAAAATTACACTCGGTGTTCAAATTAGTCCGCGGCTGCTGTAAAATTACTAGTAGCAATTCGTATATACGAAAGTAAAAGTGTCGACGACATAGCGACAATAATATTCAATGGATTTTTGTCCGACATGCAACCGATGTTGTTGCTTGCAGCAAATCGTAGTTTAATCAGGGGGGTATTTAATAAGTGTCCGAATATTTCACAGGCTGATTTCCCACGCATTTTTTTAATTAAAAAAATAATGCCGAATTTCTTACATTTCCTACATCTCTTTTCTCACTTTCAAATGACTTTTTTATGCCCTTGGTAAAAAAAATGTCTTCCTATGATGGTCGCTAAGAGCAACCATTTTTGACAAAAAAAGTGAAACAATTTTCTAAAATAACTTTTTTTTATCTATATAGATTATTTTCAAACGTCCTATTTTAGACCACAGCTGGAAATATCGGACACTTATTAAATAACATCCAGTATACCACATACTTTTAAGACAGACGCGTTAAAACATATCCTTTACACAGTTATATTCATTAGTGTAATTCGGGTTAGATGAGGTAGACGAATAAGGTAGTTCTTAAATTGATGAAAATGGTTTATAGCAGCAAAATAATTTATGTATCTAGTACTATTTAGTTTTGCTATTATTTATTTTTGCTGTCGATGTACCCATATATTTTTTAACACAAAAATAATTCCAAAACTCTTGACAAACATTTTTTCTTGATTACTTTGGTCGATATGGATTTTGTGTTTCTTATCCGATAAGTGTGTTATTCATTCTTTTACACCGAAAAAATTTTTGTGTTTTTAATTTTTTCTCCATTGGCTATTGGCTAATAAAATATGAAATGTATTTATTTACTTCTTCATTAAATGTCAAAAGTAGAGTGGTGGTCGGAACACTGTGGAGAAAGCCAGATTACAAGTGTTATTTACAATATTTTACTATTAAAATTCAGTGCCTATATTTTTTAATATTCTAGTACACAAAAAGTTAAAAAGAAAAATTTTAAGAAATGTAAAAGTCAAACCACATATTCCCTTCAATCACACTAGTTTACTAGTAATATGACCTAGTTCTCTCGTCACTGACTTTATTAATCTAAACGTCATTTCATAATTCGGTTGTCTAAGGGCATTTTGTGATGCTAAAAAATCCATTTTCAGAATTCAATGCAGAGCCACTTTACCTTAACTTAGGTAGCAATAAATATTAGTAGTTAGGGTGTAACCCAGACAAAGATGATTTACACTTAGTTTAAAGGCAAAAAGCAAAAGTCAACGAAGTCTTCCATTACCAACAGTAATTATTATAATGTACAAGTATTTTGACTATTTTTGTGAGGGTACAAATAACAGTTTTGCATTGTTCAGAATTTCTCCGTTCGGGGGCGAGATTTTCAATATCGCAAGAACGTTAAAATCTGCCAATCGAGAGTTTGCTTAAGATATTTTAGTTTAATTAATTTTTGATAATATTGAAATTAAAGTTTCTACCAAGAAAAATAGGACCATAAGTCCATATCTGTCTGTTTCAAAAAGTTATACAAGTAACGTCACTTGAATTTTTTGACAGAAGTTTAAGCGAATATTGAAATTCAGAGTTGCTCTTGAAACAAATTTTTCAGCTAGTCCAGTTTGTTGATGAAAACAGTTAACTTTAACGCGACTGAAGTGTAAATATAGTTCTGAAAATTAAAATAAAAGTTCAAAAAGTAACAACAAATAATTTTCAAAAAATTAGAGTTTTCATGTTGAGAAATAAAATGACACTGGACCTATTTTTATAATGTATTGATTCTCCATTCTAAATGACCATATTAAAAGTTGTAGTTCGATATTTGTTAGTTTGCTTAATAGTTTCATTGGTCAATGCAGCAATGAACATCTTAACGCATAAACACTGTAATTTGTAAATGTGTTTTTAGTGAATATTGTCAAACTCATGAGGAGAGTTGCTCACACATTTAGTATAGTCAACTGCAGCTTAAATTAATAGAATACAGATTCACTTTCTGATTAATTTCCTTTAACAATCTTTGCATCAGTTTTGCGTAATTGTTGGACTTTAATTCAGGAATTTATAGGTAATATGTAAACTAAAATTTGCAATTTTGCTTTAGAAGTGGTTAAATAAGAAATCCAATTATCAGGAAGTGAATTCTTTGATGTTATTTCATATCTGAAAACGAGTCTTCCAGATGAAAAATAAGTCTTCCAAATATATCTACGTCTTCCATTTAGTATATAAGTATAAGAAAATTGTCTTCTAAACGCGAAAAAATTGAGGAGGAGAGTCTTGAACACGTAAAATGTTCGCATGCGCAAAGAAATGTGAAAAGTTTTCAGTAATTTGCACTGTAAATATGTGAATTTAATGCTCACATCTTAGCTGAGACGAATATAATCACGTAGCGTGATCAAGACTTTTCGCTTTCGTAACAAGGATATTCGTTTCTGTGAGTATAAGGTTAAACATGTATGTTCTCTCGATGTGTACAATAAAGTGTTTATGTAAAAATTACGTATAAACTTGTTACAAATTGTTACTATATGTAGAGTTAAAGAAAAATGTAACTGTAATAATGCTTTACGTTCAGAAACATCCGACAGTTAATAATATTCCATTGTTATTGTGTTATCCTTGATTGTGAATTATTGCAGATTTTAAGTTATTTATTTTATGAACTGAATGAATAAACCAAAAAGCATTCTACCGAACTTTTATTTTTTCTAGTTTCAGTTTCAGTTATAATTAAATTGAACATTGTGGGCGCCCAAGCAGATTCTCATTGTTATAAATCTGTCGAATGTGTGCAAAGAAGTTACTAGCTAAGTTGAGTTGAGTGGACTTTTTATTATTATTATTATTATATTGTTATTTATTTTAAATTATATCATTTCAAAAATTCCTAATAAGACTATGACGAAGAAGGGGGGGGTGGGTTAAAATGACATAACCAACCAAGGCACTCCCTTCATTTTTTATCAGTGAAAGGCAAAAAGTGCATTTAAGGAAGCCATATACCTAGATTTTTGCTGACGATAGAAATGAGCGATATAAGCAGTGACTTCTTTGATAAAATATCAAAAATCATCCCAGAGTCCAACGAAAAACAGACAATCGAATTAAAGATAGAAATTCAGTTGAAATTTCAGTTTGAATATATATATATATATATATATATATATATATATATATATATATATATATATTTTTTGCAAAATACTGTATATTGCTTGTGGTATGACCCTATGGTTACTAATTGAACCGCAAGAAATTAAAAGTTCCTGTCGATAAAAGCAATTACTTTGCCGTCATACACAGCAGTGTATTGGTAGATACCATCAGAGTTATCAATTAATACAGAACACCTTATTAGGCTAGTGTTCGATATTTGGAATTACACCACACATACACATACAGACTAGATATATGGCTAACTCAAGTCTGTATTTGACGTTGACATTGGTCCGCGTGTTGCTAATATTATTATTTTCCACAACAATTTTACGAAAAAAAAAAGTATTATAAAAGGTTATCGATGTAAGGCTCGAAGTACAGCTATGGATTTGGTTGTGTTTATTTCGAATTTTCTGAAGTAGAAAGCATCGACTACATAAATACTACGGGAAGGCTGATCAAATCACACGCAAGTTTTCAACTTTTCAATTCCACCTAGTCAACTTATGTGCTTTTATGATATCATTTCATAGATATTATGTACTAAACTTGCCGCATGGTGATTCTTTAGCAAATCAGAATAAAATTTAAAAAGAATTTCTTCATCAATATACTTTTGGGAGATCTAACATTGATGGTGTTTATTCAAGTCGATTTAAACATTATGGTGAGTTGCAACGCCGCTTTTAAATCTCTTCCGTCAAGATGGTAAACAGCTTGGAGCCATATATTTATCTCAGCAATTGTTTGAGAAGATTCTACGGAATAGTGAGTATTTTGTTCTACTCTATTCTAGAATTAGAATTTGTTGTATAATGATCATATGACAAGGTAATTTCATCTTTGAGATAATCGCTAATTTTTTAAAAATTATTTTCAATAATTCAATTTTATGCTCTTTTCTAGTTCTAATTCTATTTGAATGTCTTAAAAAATTTTCTTACAAAACAAAAAGACCTTGACTTTATATCAACTTGTAACATTTGCGTTTCATAAAGTGAAAATAATGTGAAGTAACAGAACAAATTTCCAATACTCTTTCTATGACTATATACACTGAGTAACGTGCGAGAATTGACAAACGTCAAAATACCATCCGTAACTAAAGATAACGGAAAATATCCGATCGCTCCCTGTCATTATTAATCGAATATCTATAGTTGCATATCGTATTTACAAATGTCAGATTATTTACTGAGTTTAGTCTCAGTAATTTATTCCAAAGCCTGTTTATAAGTATGTGTATAGATATGTGTTCATATGCGTATGACAGATACCATTTTCTAATAAAAAACTTTGGTTGTTTAGTTTAGTAGATTCTATTCACATCAGCAAGAATGCAACAATACTATAGTAATAATTGTAATCTGAATTTTACAAAGCAATACAAGAAGCTCAAATAAAAAAAGAACGACGTTATCTTAAAATCAACAAATCCTTTGGTTAGTTATGGTGTCGACACTACCATCTATTTATTGAAAAATATATCCCAAAATGGCGCCCGGCGAAATCTTTGTCAAATCCTTAATTATTTCCGTTGAACAAACTTCATTCGATTACTCGCGACCAATGTTTTCGAGGTGTCGCCGTTTGATGTTTTTAAAATAAACGACATTATTTTCTAATGTCCGGAAAATCGATTTTAATTTGCTTAAAAGGCTGTTGTGTAACCTAGTTATAATAATAATTCCAATCGAAGAGTTGACAGATACTCGACACTCATATTCAAATTTTCAGCAAAGAATGATGGTTTATTACAGCCGCAAAGATATTCGACATTTAAGTTGTTTGCTGAGATATTTATCTTTGTTCGGCGTGTGCCCTGCCGTAAATTTGAAGAATTTCCAGTTGGAAAAACGATTGTGTTCGATCTGGTACACTTCACTTCAGCTCGCGTTCGTGGTATCCCTGAACGTTACTTGTATTTACATTAAATTGGTGCACCTGTGGAATTTAGTGGCGAAAATGTCTACGTTTCTAGTGATGTTAGCTGCATTGAACGGATTTGCTATAACATTGACGATGACCGCCAGCGCATACAAGAAACGGTTTCAATGGAAGATGCTGTTCGAAAAACTATCGAGTTTGGAAAATGTACACAACTTGAACAGCAAGGGTTCGATAACGTACAAGATAACCGACACCGCAGCGTCATGTCTACTTTTATTCAGCATTCTGCATGTACTTATAACTGGCGCTAAGTTTGCCCTCTACGATTCCGAATATGACTGGTCTGCTGTTCTTTTTATTAACGATGTATACAATAGTTACTACACTTTTTTGATATGCACGCTCACGTCAAATGTATGTCGCGCCATCCAATTAAAATTCGCGGCGGTGAAAAACAAGCTGCAAGGGTGGGATCATCAACGAAATATGAGGTGCAGCGACGTCAAGCATTGTCAGGATATGTACCTCACCCTCAGCGAGATAGTAAAGTTGTGTAATGAAGTTTTAGGACCCTATCAGTTGGCAATTTTGTTTTACTGTGGCATTTTTCTGCTGCTAGGCTTTAACAATATATTTGAACTAACAACTACGGACTTTGGTTCCAAAAGTGATCCGCACCTTTTGATTGGAATAAACATCCTAGTTGGATTGTATGGAATGGTAAATGCACTTTTTTTTTGCTAGTCGATAGCTATATTTAGGTTTAGAATTACCGCACTACGGACAAATTAATTTTCATGCAGGGTCGTTCGCACTGGTTGACCAATGGGCTCTTGGTTGGCCTAGATTAGACTGCTAAGGCGCCCAATTAATGTAAAATATTTTGAAATTTTTATGCTTTATATATATATATATATATATATATATATATATATATATATATATATATATATATATATATATATATATATATATATATGCGGTGTTCATCCGTTCGTTGTTTGACTCTGGAGTAGGATCATTCGGCTGACGTTTCGCCAAAATATCACTTGGCATCTTCAGAGGCCGCGCGTCCATGTCACTCGTACGTGTCCGCACTTAAACTGCAATAAATTGTATCGCGGCGGGGTGGGGGACACGGTTGCCGCGACTAGCGGTGCTACCTCGCTATTGGTTCGACTTGATTGCGCCGCGGTGGTTGGCGCTTCCTCGCTATTGGTGGAAACAATAGGCTGTGCAATCACGCTGTTAGTGTGGTTTAGTACCACTAAATATATATATATATATATATATATATATATATATATATATATATATATATATATATATATATATATATATATATATATATATATATATATATATATATACATACATATATATATATATATATATATATATATATGATGACACTATATTCCGGGATATCATCCGTTCGCTCGTTGAACTCCGACTGGAATCCTGCATCCGACTGGAATCCTGCAAATCTTGCATCCGACTGGAATCCTGCAGACGTTTCGCCAAAATCTCACTTGGCATCTTCAATGCTCGCGCTCCGAAAACACTTCGCACACTGGGAGGTTATCGGCGGTGCGTGTGGTATTTATACTCTGCGCCGGAGATGGTAACGGTGCTGCTTGTGCGTGGGGGGAGGTGGCTCCGCCCCCTGAATTGTCGCGTTGTTAATTTCGCCCGATCGTAGTTGCGATGTCCCCGTTGGCTGCTGCGCATCGCTCTGCTGTTTGATTATCGTTCTCCACGTGTTGGATAAATGCAGAGCGTCGTCTCTCGTATTGAGGTGTCCGGACTTTTCTATTTCGATGGCCTCTCGTATTATCCTAGTCCTAAAATCAGGAATATTAGCTATTTGTTTGCAAGTGCCGAAATCAATTTTATGGCCTGTCTGATGTTGGTGCTGAAACAAAGCCGATGTTGTTTGTTTGTTTCTTATGGCTAAACGATGTTCCTCGAGCCTGGCTGAAATCCTTCTGTTGGTCTGTCCCACATACGTCAGGCTGCACGATCCGCATGCTACACTGTATACTCCTTGGTTTTCCAGAGTAATTTTTTGTTTTGGGTTTCTTAGTATTGCTCCGATGGTATGGTCAGGTTTGTATGCCGTTGATATGTCGTGTTTCCGTAATATTCGGCCGATTTTGTCAGTAACCCCCTTGATGTATGGCAGGACAGCGATCGATCTTCGTTGGGTCTCGTCCTGCACTCTCTGCTGCGGCTGTTGTTGTTTATTGATTGCCTTGTTGATGGTGCGCCTTTGGTATCCGTTTTGTTGAAGACAGGTACTAATTTTCTTCAGTTCTTTATCTCTGTTCCTCTCGTTTGTGAGCCTGAAGGACCGAGCAATTAATGTATTTGCCACTGCCTGTATCTGTGATGGGTGGTGATGAGATTTAGCGTTCAGATATCTATTAGTGTGTGTTGGTTTTCTATAGACAGTGTGTTCCAAGCGTCCATCTTCGGTCCTTGTGATGTGCACATCTAAAAAGGGCAGACTGTTATCCTCTTCAAGTTCTATTGTAAATTGAATCCTTGGGTGAATGGAATTCAGATGATCTAGGAATTTCAAAAGCTCCTCCTTGCCAAAAGGCCATACAACAAATACGTCATCAACGTATCTTGTCCATAGTTTTGGCTTCAGATTTGCCTTCTCTATTGCTTTCTTTTCGAAGTAAATCATGAAGAGGTTGGCAATCACAGGTGAGAGAGATGATCCCATTGCTGCTCCATCTATTTGTCGGTAAATTTTCCCGTTGTGCATAAAGTAAGCGTTTTTCAGGCAATGTCTTGACAGATCCATTATGTATGGAGGAAGATCTTCGTTTTCTTCTATAAGCAAGAGTGCCTCTTCTACTGGAATACTCGGGTAGAGGGATTTGACATCGAAACTTGCCATAATGTCGTCCTTGTCCATCCTGAGAGAACCTAAAATCTGAGTGAAATGTTCTGAGTTTTTAACATAGGAATCTGCCTTTTCCACTATAGGCTGAAGTGCACTGGCCAGATGTTTTTCCAGCTTGCATAATGGTGAGTTAAAGGCGCTTACGATTGGACGCAGGGGAACCCCGTCTTTATGGATCTTTGGGAGCCCATAGAATTTTGGGCAACGACTCGATTTTTCCCTCGGAATAAGTTTCTTCTTTGTATCCTCGTTTATTGATGAATCGAGAATTTTGGACTTAGTTGTTTTCTCCAAATATGTCGTGGGATCTCTGGTGACTAGTTTGTATATTGGGTCGTTCAAAATATCCTCCAATTTTGCATTATAATCCGACGTATTCATGACGACAGTGGCATTTCCTTTGTCTGCTGGCATTATTAGAATGTTTTCGTTTTTGTTTAGATTCCTTAAGGCTTGCATTTCTTCTCTGCTTAAGTTTGGTTGCGGTGGTTTTGACTGTCTTAAGACTCTGGCGACATCTTGCCTAATTAACTCCGCATCTTGTTCGTCTATAGTGGAAAGACTTGCTTCGACGTTGGAAACGATCTCTTCGACGGGTACTCTTTTTGGAGCTATTGCGTAGTTAAATCCTTTATTCAGTACGCTGACTTCTGTATCGGAAAGATGGTATGCTGAAATATTATGAACTGTACTGCTTCGGTTTGTATTTGGCACTTGTCCTGATTTTTTGGAATTTGACTGAAGGATTTCTAATTTCTTCCACAGTTTTTTTGACGTGATGTCCTTGTCTTTCTCAGTGCGCCATGATGTTAATAATTCTATGCGGTCCCACAGCAACTGATGGATCTTGTTGCTCAGTTTCAGGTGGAGTCTGAAAAGTTGTAGTTCAGTCTCACTAATTTCGTACCGGGTCCGCCTGATCTGGTCTTGGAGTAGGGCCTTGCTAGCTTTGTCCAGGATAGCTTGTGTCTTTCTGGTGCGTGTGTGATAAGACAACCTTGTAAATGTTGGCAGCAAGTTCTGGTTGCGGCAGCTTTTAAGAAAATTCAAGTTGCACAGCGAAATAACCCTCCTTTGCCTTAGTTTTTCATAACACTTGGTGGCTGTAAAGGTCTCCTTCCCGTAAAGGTGTATGATATTCTCACGTATTGATTCACGGATGGAAAAATGTGATGACACTATATTCCGGGATATCATCCGTTCGCTCGTTGAACTCCGACTGGAATCCTGCATCCGACTGGAATCCTGCAAATCTTGCATCCGACTGGAATCCTGCAGACGTTTCGCCAAAATCTCACTTGGCATCTTCAATGCTCGCGCTCCGAAAACACTTCGAACACTGGGAGGTTATCGGCGGTGCGTGTGGTATTTATACTCTGCGCCGGAGATGGTAACGGTGCTGCTTGTGCGTGGGGGGAGGTGGCTCCGCCCCCTGAATTGTCGCGTTGTTAATTTCGCCCGATCGTAGTTGCGATGTCCCCGTTGGCTGCTGCGCATCGCTCTGCTGTTTGATTATCGTTCTCCACGTGTTGGATAAATGCAGAGCGTCGTCTCTCGTATTGAGGTGTCCGGACTTTTCTATTTCGATGGCCTCTCGTATTATCCTAGTCCTAGACCAGATCAGGCGATATATATATATATATATATATATATATATATATATATATATATATATATATATATATATATATATATATATATACAGATATTCTTTACATAAATTCAAAAATAATACAATATAGATTTATTTAAATATAGTTAGAAATACAGGTTTTGAAACCCTCGCACGAATGACATATTATGCAAGTTTTATAAAGCACATTAGAGCGAATGTTTAATAAACGTATAAGTAAAGTTTATGAACGTTGTTTCATGCTATACTTTTTCTATTCTCTACTCTAAAATACTCCATTATATACTGCAGGCATTCGCAAACATCTGCTTTACTAAACACTGTCGCGAGTCACTTTGAGCGTTTCCGGTATTTTAGTCACGCGTTGTGTGCGATCGGACGTTGAGGTAGCGGTAGATTTAAAGCATGGTATTTTGATGCTTGTTAGTTCGGAACTACTCAAAAATTGATGGCGTAGACAAAGTATAGTATGCAAGACGTTTAAAAAAAAGTTACGAGTGTATTTAAGCACGAGTGAAACGAATGTTTAATAATAGAGGGCCCCGAAGAAAGCTTGTTGTATAATATATAATATATAAATATGAGACATTCACTGCTCCCAAGCTGACATTTTCAAGTGACACCTGTGTATTTTAGAGTTAGGGAATAGATTAAAGAAATGCAATCCTATAACAGAAAACCAAAAACTAGAGAAAGATTATTTAAGTAGTATTTCTTCCTCTTCTTTATATCCTCAATTATTTAACATAGTCGGAAAGTGTTTTTGTGTCGAATTAAATTCAATTTTTCAATAATACCACTGCTGATGATATCAACAATTCAGCTATGTTTAATGCGATGATATATATTTCTTAATTTTCAGCTACCAGTGTTTATAACTACCCTCTGTTGTGATCTCGTGACACGAGAATCTCACAGTCTGATTCCTGTCTGCTACAATCTACAGAGGCAGTATTCCGTTTATTCCGAAACTCATCAAGAAATCCAGTATTTCATCAATCTAATAAGACAAGAAAGAACCGCCTTTAAAGCAGCAGATTTCTTTGAAATTGATCGTTCTACGATGTTGTCTTTGTTAGGTGTAGTTGCAACGTACTTCATAGTTATAGCACAGTTCTATCAAACTGATGTTGCTCCATAAGTCAGGATCGTAAACGATAGTGAGGGACAATCATGAACTTTAAGGGTAGAATAAGGTTGATTGAAATTTGATTTAAAATGATGGGATATTGCTTTATCGCACATGTCATAAATGTAATTAAAGTAGGTACTGCTGAAGTCTTGTGAGAATTTTTTGGCGGTCATTTGATATTGGTTTTAATAATAGTGCTTGAGAATATCTTCTGGAACAAACTAAATAAGTTGGTAATTAAACTTATGCTGATGGCTTCATAGGTATATTATACTAAATTAAACGTCAAAATCGATATCGAAAGTAAGTGCTTTAAAAAGTTAAAAAGCAATTATTGTAGGTTTTTATGTTTTATTAAAGTACCTTACCTATATTAATATATTAATTAATATTAATACTAATAATAATAAAATGAATAATTAAGTAATTAAATTCAACAACCAAACAAAACAACCAAAAACAAAAATTAATTTGCAACCTGTCACAGAAGTATTTCCAAAATGGGTACATAATATTACTTAATATTGTTGAATATTTGAGTAAAGCTTTTGAAACATTTGTTAGTAACATTTTATTTCACAATTACATTTGTGCTATCCTATCCTGCTGGTGAGATACAATTAAACACTCCTCTGAATGCTATTCATATATTAATTAGTTACAATGCAATAACTACGGAAATATTGCAATATTATGAAATGGTGCGCTCGCACTCAATATCGTTGACCGACCAATATCTTAGAAAACTATTGGCGATTTTAAAATAGAGCGAACCCTCTAGCTGAAAAAATACGGAATAATTGTGATGTTTTTCGTATGAATTTCAGGTTATGTTGTATGATTCATGCTGATATTGTTTATTGTTAAAGTTCATTTGGTATTATTCGGGGTTCAGTTCCTTTACGGCTTCATCTGAGGCCCCGATCAACATTAAGCTTACCTGTTCCAAATCCAACATGTAGATAACATAAATCATTCTTATCACTCACAATGCGTTTATCAGCTTTTTTCATTTTATTATAATTTATTTTATTATTGTTTATTTATCCGATATATTTATTTATTAATATTTAAGATTGTAAAGTATTTGCAGTTATTTGTGTAATAGTATATTTTGTAACAAGCTTGATAAACGCCACTCCAGTAAAACGTTTGATTTGACAAGAGCATAGCGCACTGGATCACGTACCTTTTTTCAAAACGGCACGAAAAGATTCACTGAGTGACATGGTACGTGACCGTTAGAACTGACAAATGAATGTCAAATTACCGTCTATCGGAAACATCCCATCGCTACCAAATCCGTGTTTGTATTGCTTATTTTAGAGTAGGGCGTAGACAAACATTAATTAAATCTATCTTTTATGTATCTGAACTATGCTTTAAATAATTATCTTTTATATCTTTGTATATTTAAACTAGATATTTACTATTTTAACAAATTACATTAATTTTGCACGTCAGACACGCAACCAGTTATAGCAGTCAGTTCAGAGGGACATTGTACTTCGGTAAACGTAACGTTAGGGTTGTCGTATCCCTCCAAAAAATTGAATCTAACCCTGCAGCCGTCCTGTAGTTGTTCCGGCAAGTCGTCGCATTCGCTAAGCGTCGAGATACCGCCATATCTTGCTCCCCAACCATTTTCTGGTGCATTCCATTGCCTAATGCATCCCAAGTTGAAAAGTCCGACTCCACCTCCAGGAATTGCGATGTCAAAGTGGTTTTCGAATAAATCACCACCGGTATTTGTTATCTGCAGCAACATTTGTTTGCCTTGTAATTGACCTAGGAAGGACAGTAGTACACATCTGCAACAGTTGCTGGTATCAGCTCCACCTAGAATTAAAGAAAAGTGTACGTATGTAAAGGAGTCAGTCAATTTAAGTTTAAGTAACTAGCATAGTGTTTTAGGGTAAGTATAAAGTGGCGTCATGTGAAGCAAATGTATCACGTTGCCATTTGCAGAAATTGACAGAAAAATTTGACTTAACTTAAATTAGTTTAAACTTGTAATTGCTAAGAAAATTTATTCGCCTTTTTCTTTTGCAATGATTGAAATGGATAATTAAAATTACTATCTACGTTAGTTTCAATATATTGAAAACACTATTTTGCCGAATCCATCAAAAAATAATAACCTACAATTGATGGAATTATACTTGAAATATTATAAAAGCCAAACTCTCAAACTAATTTAATAACAAAACTAACCAAAACTCTCCCGAATACTATTTTTATAAAGGAGTGAAACTCATTGCCTTGAATAAAAGCATTAGAAAGTCAGTTTGCATTCATTTTTTGCGATCTTTAATATAATCGAAAAATGAAAACAATCGCTCTCGCAATTCGATTTAAGCTAAACAACATAAATTACATCGAATTAGACTACATACAAAAAGAGATATTCGTCACCCAAAATAAAATTCAATATAGGTCCAGAAATGGTTAGTTTTCAATATACGGAATGACTAAAATTTAATCAAAAAAACAGCTTGTGCGAAAATTTTTACGCCCGTCGTAGGCTACATTTTTGTTTAATATAAATTTTGTAGAACTAACTTTTTCAGAAAAAACAACTCAAGAATCATAAAAGTTGTACTTTTAGTGGCTTATTCAAAGTAAATAAAAATTACAATAAAGTTAATTGACAACACTATTAGTTAAAATACCTCCCATTAATGAATTTAATTTAATCTAGTTAAAGCAAAATTTGGCCAACAGATAGTAAAAAGCCATTTTTAAAAGTATTTAGCGATTACAGGATGGAAACATTTGGTAATTTTTAATATTTTTGATTTTTAAACAGCGCACCCTGTTTTTTTAAGCCATAAAGGTGTGTCTCCCATTTGTCTTAGTTTTTTATTTTAATTTGAGACTGAGATCTCCTGTAATTATTACTAAAAAAAATAATCATTTTAGAGATTCTTTGCCGTAACATAAGTAAAGAACTTTTCTACCAAACCAAACGGCCCTATGAAAAATTTTTATCAGTATATAGTGGACTGTATGATGTATGAAAAATATTGAATAGGTGGTAGGAAAAAAAGAAACTATATCAAGGCGATTATGTGCAAATCTGGCGTGCATGTGCCGCTTCAATATTTGGCGATATGCGGAAAGAATAAAAAATAAATTAAATTGAATAATTGTTCAATCCGAAAAGGAATAAGTAACAAAATAAATGTTCCAAATAAATAAGTTCCAACAAAAAAAATTATTTTCCCATACCGCACGATGGTTGGTAGTCCCTTTCGTATCCGAATATGTGAAGGCAACAATTGAGTAATGGCAGGTATACGATGAATAACCAAATGGTTAAAAACACAAACCAGTGAAAGAGGCGGCGGTAAATCCGTAAGCCAGAGTGTCGTTGACTATCCAGGGTTGTTGGCTGTTGCAAGTGAACGAACTACCCTCTTCTGCGCATCCCGACTGTGCGTTAAAGTCGATCGGAGTGATCCCGTCTACTTCGCATGCTTGTACCGGCGATTTTACGTTAGTCGATTCCACAAACCACGCGCATGAAACCTTGCAACAATCCCAATAAAGGGTTGTTATTCCGGTACCGTTGAAACCCCCCTCGATCGGAGTTATTTCCGGTGAACTTTGGCAATTGAAGGCTTCAACTGGAAAAGACTTGGTTTTTATTTTTTCGCAGCACTCAATTTACATTGCACACTATAAATACGATGTTCACTATTATATCGATAATAATTAAAATAAAATTCAGAGAGATGTATTAAGCCCGTTTCTCACTAAGCGATCTGGAGAAATGCAACGTAATGACATAAACATTGAGTAATTACAATTGCAGTGGTTTCACATTCATGCAATAAAAATGCAGTAGGTTATTTTGACTATTTGAATAAAACAAGCACTTTTTGAAAAACTTTTTTTTTGGTTTCGAATGTAAATTTTTGCAATCAGAAAAATAGAAAAATTCTAAAAGAAGCTCTATATCAAGCATAGTAATAGCATGTCTGCATGTCTGTAATTTACTATAAAATTGAGGCCGCCACGTAGTCAAATTAGAATTCGACCAAATACTTCAGCCTGAAATTAAGTGTTATCAAAAGTTGCAAGTGTGTGGGTGTAGACTATCGTTTTTATTATGCTCAAAGAAACCAAAATTAAAAAAACAGCGGATGCGTATATAAAAAATTGAAGTTTCTCGGAAATAAAATATAAGGATATTGTAGAAGGTAAAAAAATGACAAAAACTCTTTATTTCCGAAAGAGATTTGGGATATACCTGCGAATTAGTTGAAAGTTATATACATTTTTTTAGTGGAATTTCGATCAGATTCCTCATATATGACCCCCAGAATCACATGTGATAAATAACTATCAACGTTAAAAATGCTAAAAAAGAATATAAATTATTTAGAAAGAATAAAAGGATTATTTAAATGAAACTAGCAACAAAGGAGTTTTTGATTGTCCTTGTATTATTTGATTTATAATATTTGATAGAGTGTCCTAACATGCAATTAATATAAGTTTTTTAGTTAAACCCATGATTTGATGTTGCGAATTTTCAATTGTTTATTTAATATTTTACCGAATATACTGATTTTATATTATAATTTATTGATTTAACATATAAATTCTTCCAGATGAAGAGCTAAACCATTAAAACACGATTCAGTGTTCTTTGTTTCTTGTTGGCTATATGCTCACGAAGTACACAGCACACCCTCTAATATGACCCGACATAATCAAATCGTTTAATATAAGAACTTTGTATCTGTAACGACTATTAGATTTATAGTATACTTACAAGCTGCTATAAGAAATAGGCCGATTGTTAACAACATTTTTGTTTCTCTGGTCGATCACTAGCATAGGAAATTCTACGCTGAAATAGTCCATTTTTAAGTAAATTCATTCTTTAAAATCTCATATCTATCGCGCATTTTTAAGAGGCCCTAAAAATAAATATGATGCAGTTAAATATTATCTAACATGACTTTTTCCAAGTGGTTAATCGAATATTTCGTCGCTTCATCTTCGTTTTTTTGCAGGTGTACTGGCAAACAACCTGTTCGAAATTCCCATCTTAATCTAGAACGGATATTTTCAAAGCGAAAATATATCGTCTTAGATTTTGACAGCCTGGCCTGTCCTGTAGTACGGAGCATCAGGGATGAAGTATAAAAGTGTTTTAAAAATATAAATATCAATTTTTATATTATGTTTATTTAGATATATTAAAATCATATTAGTACTAATAGAAAATACGCTGGCACTAAATATATACAAATTTTTATGAATATTTTCCATTTTTTTATTAATAATTACCTACATATTTTTCAACACTTATTCAACAACTATTTCTGTTTCATTCTCAGAGTCATGAATACAATAGACTCTTTGTTATTTTCTATGCTATTGTAAGAAACTTCAATTTTTAATAGATACACTTACGGTCGATAAAAAATTTGTAGTCTGAAATTAACATTTTTATTATATTATTATAACATAACTACCGATAAACTCCACATTTGCCTCCATCGTGTAGGTTAAATAAATTATTTACAATCACGTATCTTTTGATATTTGTTGGGATGTTGTTGGAAAAAAATTAAAAATTAGACGAATGGATATTGTTTATTAATCAAATTTAAATTTTTGAAGACAATTTTATAAATGAATACATTAGTAGGTCGCAACGTCAAAATCTCTGACAAATATGACAACAGCGTATCGGAATATTTTTGTTACACTTACAAGGTTATCTGTATCGGTGTTACAAAATACACAATACACAATACATTTCTCGAAAATCGAATAGAACGCAGACCTCCATGTACAAACTATATATATATATATATATATATATATATATATATATATATATATATATATATATATATATATATATATATATATATATATATATATTCTCACGTATTGATTCACGGATGGAAAAATGTGATGACACTATATTCCGGGATATCATCCGTTCGCTCGTTGAACTCCGACTGGAATCCTGCAAATCCTGCATCCGACTGGAATCCTGTAGACGTTTCGCCAAAATCTCACTTGGCATCTTCAATGCTCGCGCTCCGAAAACACTTCGGATTCCAGTCGGAGTTCAACGAGCGAACGGATGATATCCCGGAATATAGTGTCATCACATTTTTCCATCCCTGAATCAATACGTGAGAATATATATATATATATATATATATATATATATATATATATATATATATATATATATATATATATATATATATATATATGTATATAGTTTGAACATGGAGGTATAGGTATATATATTGATATTAACAAAGAGCTGAGATACGTGCAGTGTTCCCTTGTTCTCATAAATAAACGAGGCAGTAAAGTTTCACTAAAAATTTTTTTACCTATATTATGAGTTACTTCAAAAATGCACTAAAAGTTAAGTCGAACGAAAATAAAACAAAACTTTTTAATCTATTATGAGGAGGCCCCTTAATCACTCACTAAGTGAAGATTTTCTTTGTGAAAACCAAGAATTACGTCCTAATAAACGGTTGTTAAAATTACGCTTTATTTGGACACTGCTTCATGAGACAATTCGACCATAATAAACGGTTATTATCTTCTTCTTTTCTTCGCTTTTAAAGTGGGCAAGTTGATTCAGAAAATACACCCATTAGCGACATGCGTCGACGATTTCTGACCCTTGTTGGTCACTGACCAATCTATATACCAAGACTTGTGAACATCCGCTTCCGTCGTGGACCATCCGGGTCCATCCGGCCTCCTAATGACGTGAATGACAAAACCAGCGGAACTGTACCGCACCAATACTTTGAAACGTTCACAAAACTCTTTCAAAACAAACCCCATGCGACTCGATACCATACTTTTGAGACGGATATAAGGAATTCTACAGGGAGCGAGAGGAGTTAAAAAAAATTGGTTGGCTGAAAAATACAAATTACGTATCTTACTAACAGAAATTTATTAAGCTGAAACACAGTTTGTAATTTCCGACAATTCTCGTGGACACTGAACTTCGTAGAATGTAACTGGTGGGTTAGGTACTCCTTCCATGAATTCGAATCTAAATTTACAGCCAGGCTGAAGAGCGTCAGGTAGTTCGGAACATTCAGTTTCGGAGTTTATTCCGCCGTATCTTTCACCCCAACCATTTTCTGGTGCATTCCATTGACTAATGCATCCCAAGTTATAAATTCCAACCCCACCTCCGGGCAGAGCTATGTCGAAGTGGTTTTCAGCCAATGGGTCACCTGTGTTGGTTATTTGAGCCAGAAGTTGTTTACCTTCTAGTTGACCTTGGAAGGACAGCAGGACACATGCACAGCATTTGTGATTATCTACTCCACCTATATTAGAAAAAACATATTATTTTGATCTAATAACTCAGTTTTAAATATGTCAATAATGTGCATATATGAATGATGGGCGAAAAAATTATAGTTCAAAGTACAAGTAGACGTTTGCTGCTTCTGCAAAATACTATGCGAGTTGTGATAAATTTATAATGTTAATTTCCAAAGCACTGTTTAATACCCTAATTTAAATGAATATAATATGGACGAAGGTACTTATTTTTAGCAATATTACTGGTTGCCAGCTGCAAATTGTATTCTCACCAACAAAAGAGACACTGAACTGCACAATAATGAATTTATCAGTGACGAAAGTCGACTTTAAAGCAAACTACCAACCATAATTTTATTTCTATTTTCTTATAGTTTATATCTCAAAAGTAATAGTGTGAATAATTTTAGAACTTATCAATTAGTATAATAATAATTCTTATTAGTGTTATTCTGTGAATTGCTCGAAACTCTTTGAACAATTAAATTAATACTTCACATTATATTGTGAACCATATCCTAACAACTAAAGGGAAACTACATACCCGTAAAGGAAGCTGCTACAAATCCATAAGCAAGGGTGTCGTTGATTACCCACGGCTGCTGATTGGTACACGTGTATGCAGAACCACTGGCATCACAACCGGACTGAGCATTGCTATCAATTGGGGTCACACCATCAACGGCACACGATTGGACTGGTACCTGTTCGTTGGTTTCCGGTATTAACCAACCACAAGATGGCTTACAGCAATCCCAATACCGTGTGGTGGTGCCATTACCACTTACGCCTCCATTGACAGGAACAATTTCCGGAGAACTTTGGCATTTGTAGGCGTCAACTGAAAAATCGCCGATTTGATTGCGGTGGAATTTCGTCGAAATTAACAAAGAAATATGTCGAAAAATCGATTGTGTTTTGTAAGTGATATATTAATGAGGTTCACACAAGATGCAATTGTATGCTATAAAACTTAGCAGATACCTGTTAATACTTACAAGCAGCCAACAAAGCTACTGATATAGATAAAGATTTCATTTTCATTTCACTGTTAAGCCAGCTTCGGTGTTTGAAATTATATACCTATAAGCTTATCGATTTTAAATATTATTTTTTAAAATGTCGTTAGTAGTATATCTGAAGTATCTCAACAAATAAATAGGTATTCTGAAACTTGATTGCGTTGATAATTTTGTTCAAATCTAGATATATGTACTTAATAATGACAAATATTATTTAAGCGTGAGGGTCAATATTACGAAAACATGATGTTTAATGGAATCGACATTTACTGCCTTAATGCGCTTATATTTTTGTTTATTAAGAAGTCAATTTTCACTGTGGTAATTTAGTGGCGAGTAGTTTCATTTATTGAACAAAATTATTAGCTTAGTTCTAAAATTAGAATAGCCAAAACTAATCACACTAATATATAATTCTGTTCTTGAAGAATATAACTTCTTAATATAGAAATTGAACTAGAGAAGCATAACTGCAAACAACGTTTATTTTGTATTTAAGTTAAGTGATAAATAAAAAAACAAATTTTCAAAACCAATCTTAAAAAACGTTCAGTGGACGTTTTTGGGGTTCTTGTATTTATCATAAAATATTATACAAAATTTGAATGTTGAAATTTAACAGTTATTTTAATCAATACTAAATTGTCAAAAGAGAACTGGAGAATGTCACAAGTTGTTATTTATTTTGATGTCATAATTATTGTGCTAACTGTTACCAACATCCGACTGCTCTCAATCCCGGAGATAACAAAACTGACATAGTAAAAAATCTTTTTTCTACTCCCGTCTGCAAAATACCTATTTGCCCACCGATCTAGCGTGCGGGAAGCATCACTTTACTACGTCAGTTTCCTTTCTCATGAATCCGAGCCACTTCGGACATTTCCGGGATTTTACCACACGGATTTGGGAGCAATCGGATGTTTTCGGAGATATTTACCACGACTTGAATTTTGACGTTTGTCAATTCTGACGGTCATGCAGTGCACGTATTCATGTTGTTGTGCGAAAATGTACCCAAAAACTAACGGTCATAGAAAAAGTATAGTATGTAACACGTTCGGCAAACTTTTTAATTCACTCGTTTATTAAATACTCAAATGGTGTTTAACGCACTTGTTGCATAATATACTCTAATCTACTATCTACTGAAATAAAGAACGCTTCAGAATTTTGAAATCAAACTAAGTTTTACCAAATTCTTAAATTTCTTTAAAGTATTTAGATAAATGAAACCTTGTTTACCTGTCTTTTTGTAATGTCCAATGTAAACTGATTCTATTCCATTCTATTTTAAGTATACAAACAGTTTCATAAAACTAAGAGTGTTTCAAAAATTGTCAAATTATTCAGCTATAATTTTATTCAACAAAATATACTTGACAAAATAAAGAATCTACTGATGATACTGATAAAAAAAGAACAATCAATGTTTTTAAATATCCCAATATATAACGTTAAACTTCGTAGAATATTATTTTATATAAGTTTACAAGTAATAAGAAATAGGTAATAAGTCCATCTACAGATTGGATTTTGAAATAAGAAATGGTATATTATGCAACAAGTGTGGTAAACGGAATTTGAGTAACAAGTTTATTTGGCACGAGAGGAATGAGTGTTTGATAAACCAGTGACTTCAAAAGTTTGACAAACGTGTTGCATACTATACTTTTTCCAGGGCCGTTAGTTTTTTGGGTATATTTTTGCAAAACAACGCGAATACATTCATTGACATGATCGTCAGAATTGACAAATGTCAAAATTCAAGTTGTGGGAAATATATCCGAAAATATCCGATTGCTCCCAAACCCTTGCGGGAATAGCCCGAAATTGTCCGAAGTGACTCTGTTCTGTGGGAAACGAAACTGACGTGGTAAAATGACACTTTGTGCACGCTAGGTCGGTGTATAATCGCACATTTTAGAGAAGGGATTCGAAAAAAGCAGATTTTATTTGATCAGATTGTTGTTTTTTTGGATAGAAAAACAAAACAGGTTATGGATGACATTTATTAAGCTGGTATACATTTAGTGATAGCAGACAGTTCACTTGGGCACTCCACTTCTTCGAACGTGACCGGAGGATTATCCACCCCATTCATAAAATCAAATCTAAACCTACAGCCCGGTTGAAGCACGGAGGGCAGCTGGGAACAATCGCTCAGAGAACTGATACCCCCGTATCTTTCACCCCAGCCATTTTCGGTTGTATTCCACTGACTCATACATCCCAAATTAAAAATTCCGACGCCGCCCCCGGGGACCGCGATGTCAAAATGATTTTCGTATAAGTCACCACCCGTATTGGTTATCTGGGCCAACATTTGTTTTCCTTTGAGGTCACCTTGGAAAGACAGCAGTACACAGGTACAACATCTGCTGTTATCCACTCCACCTAAAGATAAAATATTTTGTTATAACTATATCTTTTTATACAGGGTGATTTATTAATTATTGGAAAAATATAAACTGCAGAATTCTCTAAATAAAATGTGTTATTGAAAAATTTAAACTTTATATTTGCCCAGTACTTTAAAACTAGTTGACGTATTCTTGTCATGTTTGGCGAGAAGCATAGGCACTAGATTATGCAAAATAAATATTTCAAGCTAAAATTTGTTCATAGATATAAGGAAGTGACTAACTGATACGAATTAAGGAAATACCCGGGCAAGCTGTAAGAATGAAATATGGCAGAACAGGTCCGTACTTTTCTTAGGATTTAATTATTTGGGGTTTTGTTAGGAAAGATACTAACTAAACAATATTTATTTATGTATGTATTTTTATTTAAATCTAAAATAAAATTACAAATTATTTTTATTAGCTAATTAAATTAATTAAAATTATTCACATAATATATCAGTATCACTATCGCTATCATCGCCTGTTCTAATTATTATTTTTTCTATATTATTTGCAATATGGATATACGATTGTTCTGCTTTTTATATGTGTTTAACAGAATTTGCTAAACTTTGTGGAGGGATGTTAAAAATTTCGGTTTCTATAAGTTTGAGGACTTTGGACTTAACACAGGGAAAACCATTGTTACTAATAAACTTAAACTAAGTAGTATACCAAACCAAAGAATATTAAACATAGGTAGGTATAAAATTATTTTCTGTTACGGACCGCAATTTTACCGAGACTTTAGGTAATAATCTTGTTAATGATCACCCTATGAACAGACCATACTACCTGTTTCTTCCAAAATTTTTAGATACTGCCATTTGTGTACAATTTTAGTGTTTTCGAATACGTATGTGAATAAAATGCTCATTATTCGCAATTATTATAGATTATTTCTCGATATTTTTAAAATTAAAAGCATAGAACTGTACCATTATTTTAATGTCAATGGGTAGTTACTTAATTATTGTTAAACTTTTTGCACCCCATCAGGATTATATTTATTACACAAATTTAACTTTAATCCATATTAACAAAAACTAAATGTAATTTATTGCAATTCTTGTTTGGTGGTTCTGAAACTAACCAAAACTAACCAAGCTGTTGCAATCCAAATAATAGAGCTATTTCATGAAACAACACATTTTATGCAAGTGATTGGAATTATTACTGATTCACCCTGTATACCTCCAGATGTAGTCTAAAATGAGATTTAAAGTTAAAATATGTTATGGTGGTTTTGAATTATAGCATAATTTTTATTTTATGTTGGTATTTTTATAATTCAAAACGTTTCAATAACAAATTTGTGTTATATAAATTTGTTATCGGTATACTTAAGTATTTGATTATCTGTAGGTATTATTATGGCACCTTATCACATCGCTTTCTTTATTGTACTTCAAAAGGTGTTATTGCAACATCTACACAAGGGTTGTGAAATTTTCCGTATATTCAAGGACACTTATTCCGCTTTTAAGCGACACTCCTAACGAATAAACCTGTCTAAGAGAAAACAGCCAAATACCAACCACTAAAAGAAGCTGCAGTAAATCCATACGCAAGTGTGTCATTCACAATCCAAGGTTGTTGGTTGGTACATGCGTATGAAACTCCGTTAACTTCACAACCAGATTGGGAATTGTCGTCAATTGGAGTTACGCCATCGATCTCGCATGCTTGCACAGGTGCTATTTCATTGGTTTCAGGTATTAACCATGCGCATGATGGTTTGCAACAATCCCAGTAACGTGTGCTTGTACCGGAACCGCTTAGACCTCCCGGAACCGGAATGATTTCTGGAGATTTTTGGCAATTGTATGCCTGAACTGCAATATTAAAACGTTCTGTTAACGCATAGGTAAATAAATTTGTGTGGTTGTTTCAAGCAGTCAATTAGAAAGGCATATATTAATTGAACAGAAACATTTGGGATACACCCTTTTTAAAGTTTAATCGTTTTTGTGCTACATTTTCTTACAAATATTTTTGTACTGAAAAATGTTAGATAAGTAATACTTACAAAGTGCGAATAACAGCACTGTTAGTGTTAAGGACGACATTTTCGTTTATCTCAATAGTACGGAGTTATTGTAACACAAATTCAGAAATTATATACCTTGAGATTATCGCTTTAATTATCAAAAAACATTTTGCCTGTATATACGTAAAGTACTTGTCCGCGGACAACCACGATAACCAGATATTATCTGTAACTAGTGTTAAGTGTTTGTGCGTACATGGTGTGTAAATAAGTAATTGATCCATATTGTGGGATTTTATCATACACTTCTGCAAAGCAGGTCCTTTAGTTAGGTTAGTTAATAAATCATATTCTAAACAAACATGTTGCTATACTATAAATTTATTCATAAAACCTTAAGGCCCTCAAAAATATTCGCCACTCTAGGTGTTAATTGGTTTGCCAAGAATATGAATTCAAAATTTTGGTTTATGTACTATAATTGCCACTTTAAAATTGTTGCAGCATCAGTTTTTTGCTAGTCATGTTTCTTTTTCAATTTGAGTCCAGTTTTCTAAACTTCAAAAATAATTTTGGGCTACTTGGTTTGTATTGTATATATCCCATTATAGCAAATATCATATTTAATCGCCAAAAGAGTGTGAAGATTATTGGATTTTCACTCATAATTTCTACAGACACAGGGATAAATAGTTTTAGTGAGGCAAATATCTGCAATAGTGAAACAAAATTATGGATGCCATCACTCAGTAGTTACCGAAAATTTACAAATGACGTATGTAAACAATTTGATATCATTACACAAATGAATAGGTCACGTTTCTAATTGATTATATGTTTTTTTAATTTGTAAAGTTGATATCACTCTTTTTTTCCTGTTTGCGTTATTTTGAGAGTAGATAAATAAAATAAGCGTTTGGCAATTGAGTTTTCCACTAATTTCTAGCTTCATTTCAAAAGTTTATAACATATCGCATAAGACGAATTCAATTTGTGTGTTTTAATTTTCTACCAAATAAGAATTCGAGCTCGACTTTTAGTTCTTTTCGTTAGCTCGCCGCCCATGGTTATTCTGAGCACTTAGAAAAAATAGTAAAAGACAGTAGTGCCTCTAGCTTAAATTTGGAATGTTGAAAAAATTCATAGTGTGCTTAAAATAAAATATTTATTTAATTATAATTAGTTATATTTAAATATTTTTTTAAAGAGACACCAAAAGTTTACAGCATTTGATGCATATGCGGCTATATTGGAAACAGGACGAAAAATATCAACTAGATTAAAAAAACATGAAAAAGCATTAAGACTACGAGAAATAAATTCATCAGCAGGTGCCGAACACAATAATGAAACTGACCATCAAATTTTATGGGACCAAACTAAAATTTTTGCTTGTAGTCAATCCATAGAAATCTCTAAACAACCAAACAAGATATTTACAAATCTTCTGGATTCCTCCTGCCTCGGGTGATTATAAATCAAACTTGCAAACTTTCCACCAATAACTAGAACTGTTGTTATTGGACGTGTGTATCAAGTCGCAAGTCATTTCCATCTCTGGTTTTCTACTGTAAGTCTGGTGTGTGTCATTATAGCAAGTGGTAAGTACCTACTGTTTCATTATGGTTTCATATTTTCACAACGATAAAATAAAAAATACCACAGGTTTCAATACTGAGAATATTAAATATTTTCAAAATATCGAGGACTTTGCTATGCGTAGAATCATCCGATATGCGATTTCACATTAAATAAAGCATCACCATTCTGACCAAGTCACTAAATTTAGAATACAATATTTCGTTGGAATTATGAACGTTCAATTATATTCTACAAATTTTAATTTGACCTTTTGATCTTAAGTGTTGACTTATTTTGGGTACTAAGGGTTCTGATGTAAAAAAAAAAACAAGATTGATTTACTATTTCTATGAGTTTAGCAATAATGATCTACAAAAATTATTGTGATTTCTTTATAGGATGCTGCTATATTAACGTTTGATGTCAACGAAACATTTACTTTTGCTTAGTTTGCCAAAGTTAAATTTTGTGATGCTTTAAATAAACGATTTGGCATAAATAAATTCTATGCACGTGTCGTTGGACGGATTTATTTTAAAGAATCCATTTTTAGCTCCGTGTTACTACTCAATAGTTCACAAAAATCTTCTATCAAAGGTCCGGACCACACAATAGCGTTCAGTTCTACGTCCGTCCAAAGTTTACCTTACAGGACACTCAAATCGGGATTTTCAGTTGTGCTCTAGCTTTTAGAGTTGTAGTACGTGTGCGGCACAGTGAAAAAAATGTCTGTGGTCGAAGCGCTTGTTGGAGTCAATAGAGCTTTGTTGGCTCTTTTACTGGCTACTCCTAAAAATGATGGTGTCGCTCAGGGTATGAAAGAATGTACTCAAGCAATAAGAAGAATCGAAAAGGAAATGCGGACTACGAAAACGGTGGGAGAAAAACATTGTCTGGTAGCTCAAATGGCCCAAGTTAAATCGTTTCGGAGTCAATTTAAAAGAATGCTGAAGAGAGGTTCCGGAAGTAGACCCGTAACTGTTAGAGATCGCGTTCACTGGGATGTTGTTAATTCAACATTTGAATCGCGCATCAGGACTGGCGTCATAACTAACGTTCAACATAAGGACGTGCAGAGTTTCCTCTAAGACTGTTTCGCACTATTTCGACGACGTGTCAACAACGCGCTGAAAACGGACCAAGCCGTTAAGATAAACGCTGTCTTCGGGGGAGAATTTCAAATTCAAAAGGCTGATCAAATCCAGACGGAAATTAAATACTTTACACTTTACATTTAGAACAATGGTTTGAGAGAAACGTTGTCTTGCCAATTAAAACCAAATTAGAGGAGTTCCAAGAAAAAGATTCCGGATGAAGAAAATCCTAAATTTAATGGTCAATATCAACAAGTTTAATCAACTTCACGTCGGAAATTACCTGAAGTTACCGGAGTCGATAGCAAGAAAACACGCTTGTATTAATGTGCAAAATTCTGATGAAATGTGCTTTGCCTGGGCCGTGGTTTCTGCTCTGTTTCCTGCTCCATCGGAATTCGCTAAAAGGATTTCGTCTTACCCCCCTCTCCAGTCTGTTTTAAATCTTAAAGGTGTCCAGTTTCCAATGACATTGCGGCAAATTCCAAGATTCGAAGGTCAAAATAATGTTCACATTCACCGATGTTTATAGGCTGCTGAAAAAAATCATCAAATAGGTTTCAAGTTGTTCCTGCTTATCTGACCAAAGATAAAAAGGTCAAACACGTTAACCTACTACAGATACAAAGTCAGTATTTTACCGAAAAAGACCCCATCGTTTTTACGCCCGTTACGTACCATTATGTATGGATCAAAAGTATGTCTCGGCTTTTATCATCCCAAACTTTCGAAAGATCATTATAGAAAATATTTTTGTGAGCGTTGCTTGCTTTTTTTTTATTCCGAGGACAAGCTAGCGAAGCACGCCAATGATTGTGAGAAGAGAAACAAAAATTTGGAAATTCCGAGGGTTCCCGAAGAAGGCAAGAATTTTGTGCAATTCAAGGACTTTAAGTACAAAGAGAAGGTTCCTTTTATTGTTTATGCCGACACGGAATGTTTTTTGGTTCCGAATGTGATAAATCGGCAGCCGACACCGAGAAGTATCAGCGCCATGTTCCGTACTCTCTGGGCTATTATTTTAAATGTTCATATGACGACTCTCTTTCATATTATCGGTCGTACACGGGAGAGGATTGTAGTCCGTACTCTCTGGGCTATTATTTTAAATGTTCATATGACGACTCTCTTTCATATTATCGGTCGTACACGGGAGAGGATTGTGCGAAATGTTTCTGCAATGAGATGGAGCAATTAGCTGAGAACATTGAGACGGTATTCTTGTGTGATATATCAATGGATGAACTAACAGCTGGACAAAAAATATAATTTTACAAGTCTAAATTGTGCTACATATCCGAGAAGGCGTTTGAAAAAGACGACAAAAAAGTTCGAGACCATTGTCACCTGACTGGGAAATACAGGGGACCCGCACACGAAAATTGTAATCTTCAATTTAGGGATGGCCACACCGTTCCCGTAGTATTTCATAATCTTTCTTCGTATGACGGAAATATAATAATAAAAGCTCTAGTCAAATGTGATGGGTCGATCGACTTGCTACCTGTAAACAAGGAAAAGTATATTTCCTTTACGTGGCACCTAAATGACAACCTGGTGAAATTCCGATTCATCGACAGTTTTCGATTTATGTCGAGTGGCCTGGATAAGCTGGCGGCTAATTTAACGGAATATCCAATACTGGAGCTCGAATTTAGTGAATTGTCGGAGGAGCAAGCCAATATATTTAAACGTTTTCCCCTACGATTATATGAGTGGATGGAATACGCTGAAAGAAACTGTTTTGCCTCCTATTTCGGCATTTTATAACATATTGGATGACAAACCGTTGACCAAAAAAGATTACAAACGTGCTCAGGAAGTCTGGGAGAAACTTGGATGTCGAAATTTGCAGGATTATTCTGAACTTTATATGAAGACGGACATCCTGCTCTTGGCAGACGTTTTTGAGAGGTTTCGAGAAACGTCACATAAGACCTATGGACTTGATCCTGCACATGCGTACACACTGCCGGGATACGCGTGGAGCTGCATGTTGTATAAATTGAAGCAGAAACTCGATCTAATCACTGACGTCGACATGATTTTGCTTATCGAGAAAGGAATGCGAGGAGGCCTTAGTCAGTGATCCAACCGATATGCGGAAGCCAACAACAAATATATGCACAGCTACGATCCCTCCAAAGTTGATAAATACTTGATGTATTTGGACGTCAATAACCAATACGGGTGGGCAATGTCTCAATACCTACCGTACGGAGGTTTTAATTGGTTGGATGAACAGCAAATCGAAAATCTTGACATTTTAAATATATCCAACGAGTCGGACGTCGGCTACATCTTGGAGGTCGATTTGGAAATACCCGAGGAGTTGCACGACAAATTTGCAGATTTACCTCCATGTCGCGAACATCGCTGTCCTCCAGGATCCGAAAATCAAAAATTACTGACCACCTTATACGACAAGCAGGGGTATGTCATTCACTATCGTAATCTGAAACAGGTGCTACAACTGGGAGCTAAATTAAGAAAGGTAC